ACGCAGCCCCCTCCCCCCCCCCAAAAAAAAAAAATAATAAATAATTTGGTCACTCGATCCACGAGATAAGGCGCTGTAATAAGTGTAAAGGGTCATTGTATATTGAAGAGAGAGACCAAGGGATGACCCCCCCGTCATGTGACGAGGGACACTGCTCAGACTGCGTCATGTGCCGTGGCTTCAGGCCGTGTCACGTGTGGCGAGTGACGTCGGGCCGCGTCATGTGACCAGGGGGGACACCCGGCCGACTCGGTCCCTGTCACGTGACGAGGGGGTGGGCGGCCCCTTCTCTCCCCCCCGGCCGTGACCTCCAGGGGGTTCTGCTTCCGGGTCGGCCAGCGCTGGAGCATGGAGGAGCCTGAGAGAGCGTCAGGGGCGGCTGCCATAGCAACACAGGTTATACCCCCCCACACACTCACTCACACACACACTGACACACTCACTGACACACACACACACTCACTCACTCACACACACACTGACACACTCACTGACACACACTCACACTCACACACTGACACACTCACTGACACACTCACTCACACACACACACTGACACACTCACTGACACACACACACTGACACACTCACTGACACACACACACACTCACTGACACACACACACACTCACTGACACACTCACTCACACACACACTGACACACTCACTCACACACACACTCACACACTGACACACACACACACTCACTCACACACTCACTCACACACACACACACTCACTCACACACACACTGACACACTCACTGACACACACACACACTCACTGACACACTCACTCACACACACACACACTCACACACTGACACACACACACTCACTGACACACACACACACTCACTGACACACACACTCACTCACCCACTCACACACACACTCACACACTCACTGACACACACACTGACACACTCACTCACACTCACTCACACAGACACACACACACTCACTGACTCACACACACACTGACACACTCACTGACACACTCACTCACACTCACTCACACAGACACACACACACTCACTGACTCACACACACACTGACACACTCACGCACTCACTCACACTCACACACTCACACTCACTCACACACTCACTCACACTCACACACTCACACTCACTCACGCACTCACTCACACTCACTCACACACTCACTCACACTCACACTCACACACACACTCACACTCACTCACACTCACTCACACACTCACTCACACACACACTCACTCTCACTCACTCACACTCACTCACAACTCACACTCACTGACTCACACTCACACACACACTCACTCACACTCACTCACTCACTCTCTAACACACAGACGCCTGTGTCCCCAACAGTCAGTAGGAACCCACTTGTCAGTCGATTGGGGGATCACTTTCCGGGGGTAATAATCCCTTCAAAACAATAATAATAATAATAATAATAATGTGATCGCTCAATCCAACCCCACGGCTGTTTGCGGGGACGTCGCCGGGCGCGATCGGCTGCCGCGTTTCGCCCACAAAACACGCAGTCACTACACTCGACAGTATATTCTGTGAAGCGCTTTGAGACGTCTCGAAGACGTGATGAGGCGCCGGGTCTGATGCAGGGATTGTTATTATTTAGTGTCTGGGTGCTGGGCGTTGGTGCTTGGGGGCTGAGGATTGGGCTGGGGGCTGGGCATTGGTGCTTGGGAGCTGGGGTTGGGGGTTGGGCTGAGGGTTGGGCTGGGGGCTGGGGTTGGGCCTGGGGTTGGGCTGGGGTTGGGTTGAGGCTGGGGGTTGGGGCTGGGGTTGGGCCTGGGTTGGGGGGGTTGGGGCTGGGGGTTGGGCCTGGCGTTGGGCCTGGGTTGGGGCCTGGGCCGGGGTTGGGTTGGGAGTTGGGGCTGGGGGTTGGGGGCTGGGGTTGGGCCTGGGGGTTGGGGCCTGGGGTTGGGGCTTGGGCTGGGTGGTTGGCTGGGGTTGGGGCTGGGGGTTGGGCCTGGGGTTGGGCTGGGCCTGGGGTTGGGGGCTGGGCCTGGGGGTTGGGGGTGGCCTGGGGTTGGGGCCTGGGGTTGGGGGCTGGGGCTGGGGTTGGGGCCTGGGGTTGGGGGTTGGGGCTGGGGTTGGGGCTGGGGTTGGGGTTGGTGGGGCTGGGTGGGTGGGGTTGGGGCTGGGTTGGGGGCTGGGGGCTGGGCTGGGGTTGGGGCTGGGGTGGGGTTGGGGCTGGGCTTGGCTGGGGTTGGGCTGGGGTTGGGGCTGGGTTGGGGCTGGGGTTGGGGGTTGGGCTGGGGTTGGGGTTGGGGCTGGGGTTGGGGGTTGGGGTTGGGCCTTGGTTGGGGCTGGGGTTGGGCCTGGGTTGGGGTTGGGCCTGGGTTGGGGTTGGGGCCTGGGTTGGGGTTGGGGCTGGGGGGTTGGGCCTGGGGTTGGGCCTGGGGTTGGGGTTGGGGGCTGGGGTTGGGCCTGGGGTTGGGCTGGGGGTTGGGGCTGGGCCTGGGGGTTGGGAGCCTGGGGTTGGGGCCTGGGGTTGGGGCCTGGGGTTGGGGGTTGGGGCTGTGATGGTGACTGTAACTCTGGGTGTGTTGTGTGTGTATAGGCTCTGAGAGGAGAGACGGTTGAGGAGAGACTCCAGAGAGCTGTTGGCTATAAGGCGGAGGGGAACGAACATTACAAGGCTCGGCGGCTGTCACAGGCCATCAGGAGATACCACTGGGCTCTGCTCCACCTGCGGGGAGTGGACCCCAACGCCTCGCCCCCCCTCCCCGCCATCGGGACCCCCACTGTCCAACTCAGCCCCCAGCAGAGCGAGCTCCTGTACAGTACGCAGTGCGACTGCTACAACAACTTGGCCGGTACTTCACACAGCGCTCCGCTCCGCCCACCACCACCACCACCCACCAACAACAACAACAACAGCAGCAGCAGCCACTTGCCAGCAAAACACACAGTCACTACGCTTTACGGCGTATCCTGGGAAGCGCTTTGAGACGTCTCGAGGACCCGGTGAGGCGCCGGGTCAAATACAAGGAGAGAGAGAGAGAGAGACCCCCCCACCCCCCCCCTCACCGATGTGTACATTGTGTGTTGTGTAGTGACTGTGTGGGGGGGGGATTATTACCCCCCACCCCCCTCCCCCCAGAAAAGCCGCCCCACCAATCAACTTAACAACCGGGTTTCCTTTACTCACTGCCGGTAAAACAGTCACCTTTTTTATTTAGCGTCAATCTCTCCAGCCGCACCCCCTCCCCCCACCCCCACGCAGAGGGAGAGGGGGGACCCCCCCCTCACCACCACCCACCCACCCACACACACTCAAGGGACGAGGCGGACAAAGTCGCGGTTCTTTTAAAGCAAAAATCTGGTTTTATTTCTTAAAAATTAAAGTTTACACCGAGTCACAGGACTTCTCCGCCGGCAGAGTGGTAAAGATCCACCGGGGGGGGGGGGGGGCGGGGGGGCAGGAGGGGGGGGCAAATGAGAGGATCGTGGGATTTCACAACCCCTGACAACCAGGGCAGCCTTTCATCACACCATCACCTGCGAGGAGGAGGGTGGTTAATCTAATCACGCGCGGAGTAAGATTATACTAGGGGATGGGTTTTTTTTTTGGGGGGGGGGGGGGAGAGAGAGGGGGGGGGGGGGTCTGGAAGCGCGAGTTGACGCAGAATTTAAAAGAGAAGCAGAGCCGAAGCAGTGACTAACACACTAGGACTGCAAAAAAAAAAAAAATCATGAAATAGTAAAAACTCATCTTAAGACTCGTTCGGAAAAAAAAATAAAAATAAATCCCAACAGAAAATGGTCCACTCACTCGCCGACTCCCACCGACGTCACACACGTGTCCCCCCCCCTCCTCCCCTTGTCAACAAAGCAGATTTAGAGAGTTTTTTCTCCACACTCCTTAGTTTCCCATTCGCGTTGGGGAGGGGGGGGTGGGGAGGGGAGGGGATTGAGGGGATAGTGGACACAGGGTATAGACTGACCGATGGCAAGTGGACATAACGAGTCTCTTATTTTCAATCAATCGCGCACACCTACGCAAAAATGATGGGAGGAACGCCACCCCCCCCCCCCACAAATGAAAACCCACAAGACAAACTGGGGGAAGACGGGGCGAGGGAACGAATGGAAGCTTTTTTTGAGCGGGGAGACACACGTCAATTCTTTGTGAAGCACTCTAGGATGTTACCGTGCGTGAAGGGGAGCTATATAAATAGAAGTTGTTATGGAAGAATGCGTGTGGGTGATGGGGGGGGGGTCGGGGTGTGGGGGTCTCGTGTTTTCTTGGCTTTCAGCTTCGGGTGAGGAGGCGTGACGGAGGAGAGCGTGGGGAGGGAACGGGACTCGGCACAGGCGGTTGCTACGGTTAGAAGCCTCTTGTTTGCGTGTCGTTTTGCAGCCTGGAGCTCGAGGAGAAACGCGGGCGGAAACCTTTCCCTCGCTTCACTTCACGCCAGCGCGGGGAACGGCTGAACTGTCGAGCAACCGGTGGCTCGTGCTGTGCAATGGGGGGTTAGTTAATTGTACTCCCTGCCCACCCCCCCCCACTCACAAAAACAAGTCCCCCGCCACGACAGAAGGTGGGCTCTCGCGGACCGAAGGAACACACAAACACTTGAAACCCCGGGCTTTCAAAATATTCCTACCAACTACAGAAAGCAGTGAGCTAGCTAGCAATTTATTGCGCCACTCTCTCTCTCTCTCTCTCTCTATATATATATGTATGTAGAGAGAGAGAGAATCAATCTATGGGGGATAATAAAGAATTCCCCCCTCCCTCCCCGGCCGCCCTCCATCCACCACGACCATTTCAGACAGTTGCACGCCGAGTCCTGCACAGAAAACATTACAGTTAGAGAGAGTCGAGGGTGGATCTTGTCCGGGAATTTTTTTTTTTTTTTTTTCTTTTTTGTTTGTTTTAATACATTCTGTATAATTACTGTGGTAATATCTGGTGAGGAGGGTGCTCAAATTGCCCCCTGATAAAGCCAGGCATTCACTTGGTTTTAAAAATTGGAAAGAGAGGGGGGGGGGAAAAAAAAAAAAAGAAAGACAAAGAACATCTAGACTATGCCAAAACGCAGTAAAATGCCCACAGCCACCCGCTGCCCCACTGGAATGAGAATTATGCTGGAGGCTGCTGAGACCCGGCTGTGACACTCTCTCCGCAGCCCGCTCATCGGTAACCGTAGTAGCTGCTGTAGTAACGATTTCGCTCCTGGTAGTAACGCTGCCACTGCAAGAGAGGGGGAACATGTCACCACACACACACACACACACACACGACATTTACACAGTGCCCGTCTTTCACGCTGGAATGGACAAGTCAGGGTTCTGGACCCGAGCTGAATAGGGGGTTGATGGAAGCGGGAATGGGTGGGGGCAGGAAGGTGGCTGAAGGGGACGGGCTTGAGGCCTGCCTTAAGGAGGCAAGTGGATAGGCAGAGGGCCTGTGGGATGGAGTTCCAAAAGGTGAGGGCAGAGAGGTTGGAAGCCCACCCGCCGATGGAGGGACGGGCAAGGCGGGGTGGGGGGCGGCGGGGGCAGGGTGGGGGACATGCCGGAGCCCGCCTGGCGGGTGGGAACGGACAAGTTAGTAGGGGGTTAGGAGGAGCAAGGCCGTGGTGGGCTTTGAGAACGCATTTAATCATAGGATTTCAAAGAGCAAAGGGGGGGGGGGGGATAGAGAGAAAATGCCCCACATGAACTGGTCCCTCACCTCTTGGCTGTTTGTTGCACCTTGATGACGCAGAATGGCTGCTGCGTTTGCCTGCAAAAGAATCGCAAACAGTCACTACCTTACCACGACTTCGAGACGTCTCAGAAGAGTTTCACAGGATACACCGAAAGTATTGCGTGGGCAAAATGTGGCAACCGATTGCGCGCAAACGATCACGGAAAAATCAAGTGACCAAATTCTTATTTTCTTTTATTGGCTCAGAACAATGATCCACCAATCGACTAACAACTGGGTTCCCCCTTAGTGCTGGGTAATCAGTGGCGAGGGCGCGCGTGTGGAGTAAGGAAACTCGCCCTGACCAGTCCCGCCCGGGAATCGAACCCAGGATACCGGAACACTAAAGGCAGCCAGTCAGGAGCAGTACGTACCTCACGAGCGTAATCCCGGTAGTAATCTCGGTATCTGTGGTAGTCATAGGCCTGCCCCTGCCCGTAGGCTCGCTCGTACTGCTGCTGCTGCCTGTACCGATCATAAGTCTTGTGGTAATCCTGTGGGGACACGAGGCCGGTTAGCGGGTACCACAGTTCACCTCACCTGCCGTCACCTCCCTCCCCTCCACAGGGTCAGGCATTGCTCATTCACAGGTCCTGCTCACTGGTGCTCAATTGCTCCTCAAACTCTGCGGCTCACACGGAACGCGACAGAGAGAGGGAGTGACAGAGAGAGAGAGAGAGAGAAAAAGATTAGATTGTATTTTACCTCTCTATAGGCAGGATGGTTGCCGTAGGCTGCAGCAGGCCAGTTCTGGCCATAGGGTGGCCGGTCATAGCTCCTGTTGTCCCATCTTCCCATTCGATTGCCACCTACACGACAACAAGAGTTTTACCACAAAGACCTTTCCCCTGCCCTGCCCCCCTCCGGGTTCCAATCTCCCCTTCCCGGTCTCCAAACGCACATGGCTCACGTTCAGAGGACAACAACAGCAGCTTTCAATTAACCCTTGCGTTTGACACAGCACCTGATCACGCCTTCGAGACGTTTCAAAGCACTTCACAGAATATACTGGAAAGTGTAGTAACTGTGTGTTTTGTAGACAAAATGCGGCAGCTAATTGCACACAGCGACGTCCCCACAAACAGCCGTGGATTGAGTGACCACATTACTATTACCTGTTTGAAGGGACTATTACCCCCAATCGACTAACAAGCGGGTTCTACTGACTGCTAGTCAGAGGTGCGCGCGAGCGTCTGTGGTAAGGAAACCTGCCCAACATTGTGCTCTGACCCTGCCCAGCCAGGAATCTAACCTGGGTTCCCTTGCTTGCGAGACGAGTACTCTCGCTACGCGCGGGCCTGGCAATGACTAATGTACCATAGTTGCGTTCCCTGTTGTTGCGGTTGCGGCTGTTACGGCGATCCTGACGTTTCTCAGGCGGAGGCCGGGATTTTTTGGCCTCGTCTCGGTACTTGTCCACCAGCTTGACCGCTGTCTCCTTCTCCAGCTCCACATACATCACCTCGTCCAGCAAGTCACCCGGCTCGGGGAGGTTGTAGTTCGCTGAGAGCAGCAGAGGGGGGAGGAGAAAACAGTCGGATAAGCATAATAATCCTTGCATTTGATACAGCCCCTCATGAGGTCTTCCAAGACATCTCAAAGCATTTCATAGGATACACTGTAAAGTGCAGTGACTGTATGTGTTTCGTGGGCAGCTAATTGCGCACAGCAGTGTCCCATAAACAGTCGTATTTGTGTGTGTGTGTGTGTGTGTGTGTGGTGTGGGTGTGGGTGTTGAGGAATAAGGAAAATTGCCTACAGTTCCACCCGGGAATCAAACCCAGGTCCTCTTGCTCTATCCTCGATGCTACAGGACTCGATAGTTATCTTGCAGTAAAATCTACTGGGATCTGGGAGCCACTGGCACCTGCCAACAGCATCAGGGTCTGACAGGATAGGGTCTGAGCCCTGGCAAGGACAGGGGTAATGGGTGGGTTGGTTGGTTGGAGAAAGGATAGAGGGAGAGGATACAGGCTGCAGGTTCTGATTGAGTTACAGGAGGTTACAACAACTTGCATGTACATAGGATAGCATCCTGGAGCACTTTTACAGGCTGTGTGTTATACAGCAAGCACACACAGCCCTGTGAAGCCCCAGTGTGCCCTCACCTTTCATCTCCAGCACTGCAAAATCAGGGACATCTTCTCCCTCCTCCAGTTTCATCTGCATCCTGGCCTTCCAGTCCTCCTCAGTCGGGCAGACCACCACCGCTTTGCGGCTAAACCCCTTGAAGGGGACCAGCTTCCTCCTCTGGGCCGAGCTGTACACATTGCTCTGAAAGCAGAAAATAACAATCCTCGCATTTGATACGCCTTTTCACATAGTTGAATTGAGTATAGGGCAGCTGTGTGGGTGTGTGTCGGGAATCAAACCCAGGTCTCTCACTTGCAAGATGATTGCTCTTGCCACTGAGCTACAGGACTCCCAAAATTTACACCTGGTGCGTAGGGGTGCGGGCGACAGCTCACCTGATCGAGGATGTAATTGCGTTTCTTGCAGGCAGCGACCTGAATCATCTTGCTCATACACTGCGTGGCCTGCTGGATGAGCACGTGCTTGGGCTCTGTCAGGGTGGGCTGGCCCTCCAGCCCCTTTACCTGCAAACAAACAGTGCATCGCCGTGAGAAGCTCGTACAGTAAGGAAACTTGCCTGAGGTTTCGCCCTGCCCTCTTGGGAATTGAACCCTGCAGGACTCCATCGTTCCACTGGGTAGCAAAGTGCCAAACATGTCACGGAATAATATGACGCTCTTTAACCGTACGGAAAAACCTGCTCTGTTGCTTACCCTCATCTTGTCCAGGATGTTGTTGGTTCCTAGCACGCTGTACCTCTTCTCTGGGTTCTCCGCTACGTGTTTCTTCACCCAGGTAGTCTTACCCGAGCCAGGCATCCCAACCATCATTATCACCTGTGACACATATGTGACAATGACACTCACTGCACAGTACGGATCAGATCAATTCGTAGAAGACTTACTGTAGCACAAGCCACTAACCAGTCTCTCTCGTTCCCCCCGCCCCTACTCCCCATACGCACACCACCCACATTCTGTGACAGTAATCTAGCATAGGCAAAACACATCTTGCTTCAAAGGAAAGATGCTCAAAGCCATCAGGTGTGTTAGTTACTCAGTGGGCAGTGGGGATTATTATTATTATTATTATTATTATTATTAATGGCTGTCAAGTATAGAGCCCATTTTCTGTAGGCAAACATGGCAGTCACGTTTCACACAACAAGATCTCGTTGTCAGCCTCGAGGCGAATGAGCGAGCAATAAAATGCAGACCCTCACCTCGCAGTCGGCTCTGGTTTGGGGTCCTGGGGAGCCGTGGACACGGTCCTCCACGGGAACGGTATGGATGAAGGTGTAATCCTCAGGGATTGGGAAGAAAGGTTCCTCCTTCTGCCCGAAGTTGCACTGCACCGAGCAGTTCTTGGTCAACACGTGTGGGAAGAGTGCCCGGTCACCAAGCACCTCCTTGCTGATGGTGAAGGCCACGCCCACACTCTCGCCATTCTTGGAGAAGGAAAGCTCCACCTGTTCCCCGTCGAAATTCTGCGGCAGAAAACATGGCACCTGTTATAGTGGCCACCTGACACCCTCACACATGATCCATTCTTTACCCCATTCACTCAGACGGCCATTTATAATGGACTAAATCCCTCCCCACGCACAGCAAGTGCTCAATACCCGCCACCAGCCCAGTGAGGGCTCATCCCACCATCGTGCAGCACTCTGGAGACCCTAACCTCTGTGAAGGCACTATGTAATTTAAAATTGTCGTCAACTAGTGACTAATAATCCTTGCATTTGATATAGATTTGATACCGTCCTCCCGAAGCGAAAGGCGCTCTATAAATGTAATTTTGTTGCTGTTCTTGTAGAGCCTTATCAAGTTTTTGATATGCCTATGGAGGGCGACCGACCATAGGTGCGGCCCAAGAGAGTCTTGAGACAGGCCTTGTAGGAGGCGAGGGAGGGAGCAAGGCGGAGGGACTATGGGATGGAGTTCCAGAGGGATGAGGCAGAGAGTCTGAAGGAACACACGAGATCACAGGAGATGAGATCACAAAGCGCCATACTCACCGCAAAACACCCGATCACATCATTCTCACCAAACTTCTCTCCAAATTCCTCAAACGTGGCATTTTCCCACTTTCTCCCGACTCCATCATAGCCATAGGAAAGCTCATCTTCTCCTGAAAACAACAGAGCATTACTGGCCACGACCAGACAACCCACATCTAGAGCCGGTACAACTGGTCACACAATAAACCCGAAGCAGACCATTCCCTCCCACCACCCACCTGTTTCCACGTTGCCTGCCTAATCCGCCCCACCACCACCAACTTGTATTTACACAGCGCCCCTCACACAGGTAGCGTCCCAGAGCGCTTAACGGTGGCAGATCATGATGCCAAGCTGGGGGGGGGGGGGGAAGGAAGAAGGAGATGATCGTAGACATGGGTCGGAGTGGAAGGTCTTCAGGCAGAACCTGAAATGGGGAAGGAAGGGGCATGGTGGAGGGAGGGATAGAGATAGTGTTCCAGAATCTCTGGGCATAGTGGCTGAAAGCACGGCAGCCAATTGTGGAATGGAGGACACGAGGGACATGCAGGAGGCTGGAGCCAGTCGAGTGAAAGCAGGACGGAAAGGTAGGGAGGGTTTTTGAAAAGGAGTGTGAAACCCCATCATGGAGACCCGCGGATGTCACTAACCCAGCTGCAGGGAGGAGCTATCCACAGACCACCCCACACGAACAATGTGTCCTTCACATTCGTTCTCAAACACCGGCTTCACAGCAATCTTCTGTGCCACCTGCAACCAAGAGTGTGAGCAGCCATTGGACAAGTTCCACTTCCCTTTAAAGACGACATCCCTTTACACCGCGCCCCTCACTCCTTTGCTCCATATCCCTTGATACCCTGACTTATCCACCTCAGTCTGGACAATGTGAATGAATCCAGCATAATCCAGTCTTTTGGAGGAGAGAGATCCAGATTTTCACCAGCTTTTGGGTGAAAAACTGCCCCCGATTTCACTCCTAAAGCCCAGCTCTAATTTTAAGATGATGCCCCTTGTTCTGGATTCCCCCCACCCACCAGAGGAAATAGTTTCTCTAGAGCTACCCTATTGAATCCCATCATCATTTTAAACACTTCAAACACATCACCCCTTACTTAACCTTCTGAACTCAAGGGAATATAGACCAGGTTTATGCAACCTGCCCTCGTAATTTAACCATTTAAGGCCTGGTATCATTCTGTTGAAGGGACAATATATCTTTCCTGAGGTGCAGCGCCCAAAAAAGGTTTCTAAAGGCTTGAGGTTTTTCAAGAAAAGGGGTTTGTAAAGAGCCTGACATATATCTTCCTAACTAGATTAATATGATTATTATATTTATAGTGGATGCTCTCAATGTCATGTTTACCAGTACAGGACTCATCAAGAATGCTGATAGCTCTCACCATCTCAAAGCAAACGCTGCCCTTTGCCACCCCATACGTGGCCCTAGCTCCGGCCCACAGATAAGCAAACTTCTCGGGACAGAGTGGCTGCCCCCCATAACGATCCTTGGTCATGTCAAAGTGAATATCAGAGTGATCTGTTCAAGAGAAACAAACATCAGCATGCGCCCACTGACAGCCTTTTAGCACGTGCCCAGAAATTACACTCCCAACAAGGAACAAGACCTAGAAAAGAGTCTAGGTCACAAGTAGGAATCCCCAACCCCACCACCACACTCAAACCAGTGGCAAGCACTGACTATCCAAGCTCACACCTGGAGAGGTAGCAAAGGGGGGCTGGTCCCTGAGGAACTGGACCCAGTGGGAGTCAGGGACTTGGAAAAAGTAGAGAATTGGAAAAAAAAAACAAAGAGCAAACAAAACCCTAAAGATATGGCCTTACATAAAAAACTTACACTCTGATTACACTATAAGACACGGATTTCTCTACTTTTTTGTCGCTCTCGAGCCGTTTAAAACCCCAGGGTTGATCCCAATTCTGAGAGGCAGAGTAGTGAAGGCTTCGTACCTGCTAGAGTCTAATAACTACACCATGTGATCCAGACCACAGGGCAATATCATTCAACTTTCTTGCCCGTGATTGTGCACTCCAAACCCAACGCCCCTTCACAATGTAAAGGTTCAGTGAGCGAGTAGTAAAAGTGTAGAACAGCACAGGCTCCCTCGGGGAAAGACAGTGGAAGTAGAAAGTGTTGCTTGTTTCAAGAACAAACGAGAACAATTTCTGCTAGAAAATAATATCTGGGGATAATACAGTATAGTTTGAGACACGACAGGTCAAGCGACTGCCAGGATGGTGGAAGGCAAACTGTACGGTTTCGCTTAGCAATTCTTATGTTCGTAAAGCAAGCTTACGTCACAAACACAGCATTAGCAACACAAATCATCAAGCTTTCCGACATGAAAGTATCTGGCAAAACATCAACTCAAACGTCCAACAAGATTTTCTGGCAGATCGGGGTTCTAGTCCCACAAGGTGACAGTCTAGACTAGGGTCGGTCAGACTCTTCTGATTGATCCATTAAAAATGCAAAGCACTAAGAGTAAACATTTGGCCTTCGCCTTACAGAACGTCACACTTACAGGCATCGAGACAAACTAAACTGTCGTCAAATTCCTCTTCAGCCTCTTCATTCACCACAGTCAATGGGGACCGAGCCCTGTAGGGAGCAACAGGCAATGTTAGAGATAGCTGCAGAAATCAGAAGAGGAAAAAAGGGTCTTGAGACGGGCCTTGAAGGAGACAGCGAGATGAAGGGACTGTGGGGGGGGGGGGGCGAGTGGGGGCAGAGAAGCTGAAGGCCTGATGGTGAGGAAGGTGGAGAAGGCCAGAGCCCGTTTAGCAGAGGGAGTGAGCAAGAGAGCAGGTCGATATGGCATATTCAATTTAGGTTAGATATCAATGCACAGCGTTGATATTGTTGCAATGTCTCTAAGTAGGAATGTTTATCTCCGTCCCAATCACTGGATAAGATTAACTTAGAGCTACTTTCATTTTCCTTATCAAAGTGAAAGCTTTAGAAACTCCTGCCCCCAAAATAAACCCTGTGGCAGTTTACTGGTTTACTTATAGAGAAAAATAACATTAACCCACTCACCGGTTGTAGTAAGTCTCCTCCCTGAATTCATAATAACCTCGGCCACGCTCCTCATGACGTCGCTTTCCCCGCCGCTCACCATCAGACCCCCGGGCTTCGCTGCTCCCCTCTCCCAGATTCGTCTCACTGCTTGGTTTATCTCCTGCTGTGGAGAAAAAGTTACAAGTTACTTCCTGCACTTTGTTTCATACAAACAAAGTATTTTTTAAAAAAAAATACAACTTACAAACTACTGCTTGCAGTGCATAACTGGCTGATGTGTTTCATCCACAAAACACAGTCACTACACTTTACAGTATATCCTGTGAAGCGCTTTCAAAGACGTGATAAGGCGGTGTATCAAATGCAAGGATTATTAGTAGTAGATGACACAGGTCACATCTTTACTCATGAGATCATCAAACACAGTCTAAATGAAGCAAGTTTTGGGGGTCATGGGAAGGGGGTAAAATAAAGGAGGCGGACAATGTTTCTATAACAATTCTAGCGAGGCATCATACTGAACTTTGCTGGGATGCGTGGCTACATGCCTGGTATGTCATAAACAGTTAGTTCAGCTAATCCCAAGGGAATTATGAGTTATCCCAGCGAGCTTCTTATTTAGGAAAACATCCCACCAAAGTGCTCTACTGGGTGGCGTGGATACCCGAGCAATGTGGAAAGTGAGGGCGGGGAGCAGGATAAGTGGGAGGTGACCAAAGGCCAGGTCTGAAGAGGAAGATTTTAAAAGATTTTGAAAATAGGAAGGAATTCCAGAGAACAGGGACATATTCAGTGAAGACCTGTGGGCATTCAGAAAATCCGTTGGGATTGATTTGAAACAAATGCAAGGATAATTTGCCAAACCAGCCGCTGTTCATACATAATGTACTTGGCACAGAGCCACGCACCCTACCCAGTACTAAACATTCCCGGATTCAGACCTGTCTAAAGTGCGACCCAAACAGCTAAAGCCTGGACTGTAATATATACCACCACAGGAATCAAGTGCAAGAAAACTGGGGTCACAAGCAATGTGCTTTACAGACAAGATTCAGTTTAAAACAATGTATTTTCCCCCCTTTATATTTAGAAAAAGTTGCTCCCTTGAGATTTCATTTCCCCTTTAATAAAACAGAGGGTTGCAAAACATTCACTGTTCTCCAGAACAAGAAACAGAGTATGTTTGTGGGCAGTAATACTTCACAGGGGGCGGTCCACTCAAGGAATATCTTCGCGTTTGATACCCCACCTTTCAGGTCGGGGGGGGGGATATCTCAAAATGTAAAGCTCCTTCACAGTGCACACTTGGGAGGCAAACAGGGCGGCCATTCTGCACACAGCCATGAAGTCAACAAAATTTTTTTATTGGAGGGACTGTTGACAAATACAGTATGGCTGCGGGGGGGGGACGGGGGAACGGGACTGCATTGCTGTGCCATCTTTTGACTCGAACCGAGATTCCATCTGTGCTTATACAGGATTTCAACCTCCAGCCCCACACACCCCCACCCCGACACACACTCACCCCCCCCCCACACAACACCCCGACACACACACCCCACCCGACCCCCCCCACCCCCCCCCCACACAACACCCCGACACACACCCACCCCCCCCCCACACAACACCCCGACACACACACCCCCACCCCGACCCCCCCCACCCCCCCCCCACACAACACCCCGACACACACCCACCCCCCCCCCACACAACACCCCGACACATACCCACCCCCACACAACACCCCGACACACACACACCCCCCCACCACCCCGATACCCCCCGCACCCTGACACACATCCACCCCCCCACCCCCCCCCACACAACACCCCGACACACACACCCCCACACACACTCACCCCCACACCCGACACCCCTCCCACCCCCCCCCCCACCCCACAGCCCGATACTCTCCCCCTCCCGCCCAGGTCCTCTCACACTCACCAGGCTCCGCGCCGCTGGCCTCAGCTTTCTCGCCGCCGTTTTCCTCCCCTGCGCCGCCGCCGCCGTCGCACGCAGCCGCAGCCGCCTCCGCCTCCGCAGACGATGCCACCTCGGCCGCCTCTCCCCCGTCGGGCCCAGGCCTTGGCCCTGATCCAGACCCCGCGGCCTCTTTCCCCTCCTCCTCCTCCTCCGGGCCGCCGCTGGCCTCCATCTCCTCCTGGGCCTCGGGCTCCACCTTCTCCAGCTCCCCGCCGGCCCGCGGCTGCTCGCTGGCCTGGCCGTTGTGCGGCTGGGCCTCGCCGCTGCGCTCTCTGGCTGCCTGATGCCCGGGCGCCTCCTCCTCCTCCTCCTCCCCCGCCTCCTGAAGGCCCAGGTGGGCGCCGTCGGCCTCTCCTCTCGCCCCCTCCCCGCTCGCCTGGGCCGGGGCCTGGGCCTTGGCCGCCGCCAGCTGCTCCTGCTCCGGCCCCTGAGCCTGAGCCGTCCTGCCGGCGTCGTGTGAGTACGTTACACCGCGGCTGCTGTTGTGGCCTTGCTCGGTAGGCCGCACAGCATCCACGGCCGCGCCGCCGACCTGCTCCTCCTCCTCCTCATCCTCCGCCAGCAGCTTGTCCTCCTCCTCTTCACCCTCCTCCTCCTCCTCTTCTTCCTCCTCCTCCTCCTCCTCGTCCTCATCGTCCAGGGCATCGTCTCCGTCGCCCCCTCTGGCCGCCGCCATCATCAGGCCGGGCCTAGTCGGCCCCTCGCCGCCGCCGCCTTCCTCGGACAAGAGGTCGGAGTCGAGCGACTCCTGCAGCCGCAGCGCCAGGTCGGCCTTGAGGCCTCGGGTGTCGAGGCCGCGCCGCTGCAGCTCCTGGCGGAGCTCGGCGACTTTGAGCTTCTTCACGTCCATCGCGCTCATGGCGGCGGTCGGTTCCGTGGCGGCGAGTCGGCGAGGTCGGCGAGTTTAGGCGGGAAGACTTTTTTTTTCCCCCTCTCTCAGCGCCTCGAGTGAGGGGGGAAGACGAAAACTCCCCCTCACGGCCGGATAACGCGGCTTTTTCTCCCCCCTTTGCCTCGGAGACGACACGGGACGTCGATATCTCTCGCCGCCGCCGCTTTTCAGTCCGACTCTGAGGCGATTCGACGACTTTTAACGGCTTTTAACGGCTCAACTTTTGAAAAACAAAATGGCGTCGCGAGCCTCGCCGAACTCCCCTCGCTCCCGCTCCGCCGCCTCGACGGGCGCCTCCTCCTTCCCGCCGCCCCTGAGACGCGCTCGGTGATTGGTCGAGGTCCGGCGGATCTGGGCGTGACGAGGGACCGCCGGCCAATCGGGAGCGCCCGCACAGACTCGCTCGCTCACGCTCCCCTCGCTCCTGCTTCAAGCCCCTGAATCGCGCGCGCTGATTGGTCGAGGACCGGCCGATCAGGGCGTAGCTGGACAGCGTCGACCAATCGGGTGCGCCGACACCGGACTCGCTCGATCCTTGCCTCGCTCCTTCTTGCTTCACGCTCTGAGTCGCGCGCCACGATTGGTGAGGCCTGGCCGATCCGGGCGTGGCTGGGAATTGTGGACCAATCGGAAGTGCCGACACGGACCGCACGGGTGCGGTGGGCGGCGGAGCGTTGCGAACGGCCTGACGGGAATTGTAGTCTTTAGTAAGGTCCCCTCTCTTTGGGTCAATGGTCTGAGGAGATACAAGGTCCAGATTAGGGTGAACTGGGCAATGCTGGGTCCAATGTGGAATGTCTGTAGAAATCTAGCCTCAATGGCACCTTGCAACAGCAGTTACATTGTCACCCACAAAACACACAGTCACTACACTTTCCAATAATAATAATAATCCTCGCATTTGATACATCCCCTTATCATGTCTTCGAGACGTCTCAAGGGTATCCTGTGAAGAGCTTTGAGACGTCTCGAAGACGCTTTATCAAATGCGAGGATTATTACTATGACTCCAGTTATCAGGAGAGGCTAGAGAAGCTAGGATTATTCTGCTTGGAGCAGAGAAGGATAAGAGGAGACCATAGACGCTTTGAAAATTATGAGGGGATTCGATAGGGTGAACAAGGAGAAACTATTTCCACTGACGATTGGGTGGGTCGGTAACCCGAGGACACCGATTTAAAATAGTTGTTAAAAGAAACAGAGGGGAGGTGAGGAGAAATGATTTCACACAGCGAGTTGTTCGGATCTGGAATGTATTGCCTGAAAGGCTGGTGGAAGCCGATTCGATAACAACTTTTAAGATAATTATTTGGGGAGGACAAGTTTGCAGGGCTATGGGGAGAGAGCAGGGGAGTGGGATTGATTTGGGTAGCTCTTTTCAAAGAGCCAGCACAGACACGATGGGCGGAATGTCCTCCTTCTGTGCTTTCCTTTCTTTTCGACTGCGCCTTTGGTCACCGACGATGGTGGGCGGGCTGGGCATAGGGGAGAAACGAGAAACAGGCCGGAGCCCACTGAGCAGAGAGGTTGACATGGGGTTAGGAGGTCACAGAGGTAGGGAGGAGCAAGGCCATGGTGGGCTTTGAGGATGAGGACCAGGATCTTGAACTGTATCCTCTGATTACCTGTTTTCCCTCAACTATGTTCCTTTGGTGACCTTCTTGCATCAAAAACTTTCTCCCAGCGTCTCACTCGCACTTGGCCAGATTTGCTTCTATCTTTCCAAAGGAATGACTCCCGTAGTGTAAGCACAGGGCCAGTCGGTCAACTGACTAGCCAGCAGGCCAGGTCCCAGCCTCATCTGCCCACTTATCGTGTCATAGTTGCCTGTGACATGGTCAGCAGATGCTTCAAACACATCACCCGGGCTTGGCTTTGTGCTGTCACTGTGATCTCAGCCTGCTTTTAAACAGATTTAATTTGCTGTTGTGTTTTTTTGGGGGGGTCTTGCGATGGGGAGGGGAGGGCCCGTTTTTTTTCAATACGTAAACACAATAAATATTACTGCCAATTTTCCCTTCTCCTGAAGACGTTTGAGACTCCTTTTGAATCCTCTTCCTCACGCCTTCGTGCTAATTCCTCGTATCAAATGCACAAAACTTATTATTTCTTGAATATGGATGAGAATTAAGATGCTAAATGTGTGTTTATCTACAAAACTCAGTCACTACACATCAATCAATGTCGACTATTGTAACTCCCTGCTTGTCGGCCTTCCCAACTCTCCCCCTCCCTCCACAAGCTGCAGATCATCCAGAACTCTGCAGCTTGTGTCCTGTCCCGCACCAGGCTCCGTGACCCCCATCACCCCCACCCTCTCTCGCCCGGCTCCACTGGCTCCCCATCCCCCAGAAGATAGTGTTCAAAATCCTCACCCTCTCCTTCAAAGCCCACCACGGCCTCACTATGAGCTGCTGACCCCATATCAACCGGCCCGTTCTCTCCGCTCAGCGGGGTCCGGCCTGCTCCATGTCCGCCCCGACCTTCAGCCTCTCTGCCCCCATCCTCTGGAACTCCATCCCACAGTCCCTCCACCTCGCCCTCTCTTCCCTCGCCTCCTTCGAGCCCTGTCTCAAGACCCTCCTCTTCGATTGACCGCGCCTTCGGTCACCCTCCTCCCCCGACCCTTCCTGCCTTCCACCCCCTCCTGATCCCAATCCCCTGTTCAGCTCGGGTCCATATCCCTGACTGTCCAAGGCCTTGGTATCGTCCTCCGTCCTGACGGGAAAGGCAGATGCTGGGGAAATGCCATCTTGTTGTTCGTGCTCAGAGATGTCCTCCCGATGTGAAAAGCTCCATTGTTGTTGATCTCTGGATGTCCCAGGGCTTGCGGTGGGGGGGGGAGGGCGGGGGGATGGGGGGAGTTTGTGTTCCAGGGTCTGGTCACTCGGGAACAGCTGTGACCTCAGCTCCGAGATGGTCCTCCAGGGCCCCGGTTTCCACGGAAATGCCAGCGCCACAGCTGAAAGTTTCTGTGTCTGTCGTCCCTGGGGTATCAGGGTGAGGATCGGGGGAGACAAAGAGAAGGAGAGAAACACAGAGACAGAGAGACACACAGACAGATACTTGCATACACATACACACACAGTCACACAGGGTGAGACCCACACAGATACAGAGACACACAGGGAGACGCACACAGTCACAGAGGGAGACACACACACATAGATGCAGAGATGCACACAGAAACTGAAACACACAGAGCTTTACTGTGTCTCTAACCCTGACCTGGGAGTGTGGACGGACGCACAGTGTAGAGGAGCGTTACTGTGTCTCTAACCCTGACCTGGGAGTGTGGACACACAGTGTAGAGGAGCTTTACTGTGTCTCTAACCCTGACCTGGGAGTGTGGACACACAGTGTAGAGGAGCTTTACTGTGTCTCTAACCCTGACCTGGGAGTGTGGACACACAGTGTAGAGGAGCTTTACTGTGTCTCTAACCCTGACCTGGGAGTGTGGACACACAGTGTAGAGGAGCTTTACTGTGTCTCTAACCCTGACCTGGGAGTGTGGACGCACAGTGTAGAGGAGCTTTACTGTGTCTCTAACCCTGACCTGGGAGTGTGGACGGACGCACAGTGTAGAGGAGCTTTACTGTGTCTCTAACCCTGACCTGGGAGTGTGGACGCACAGTGTAGAGGAGCGTTACTGTGTCTCTAACCCTGACCTGGGAGTGTGGACACACAGTGTAGAGGAGCTTTACTGTGTCTCTAACCCTGACCGGGCAGTGTGGAGGGACGCAGTGTAGAGGAGCTTTACGGTGTCTCTAACCCTGACCGGGCAGTGTAGAGGGACGCAGTGTAGAGGACTTACTGTTCTCTAACCCTGACCTGGGAGTGTGGACGGACACACAGTGTAGAGGAGCTTTACTGTGTCTCTAACCCTGACCGGGGAGTGTGGACGGACGCACAGTGTAGAGGAGCTTTACTGTGTCTCTAACCCTGACCGGGGAGTGTGGACGGACGCACAGTGTAGAGGAGCTTTACTGTGTTCTCTAACCCTGACCTGGGAGTGTGGACACACAGTGTAGAGGAGCTTTACTGTGTCTCTAACCCTGACCGGGGAGTGTGGACGGACACACAGTGTAGAGGAGCTTCACTGCGTTCTCTAACCCAGGTCATGAAACAGTTTATCGTCAGTCGCTAACGATAACAGAAACACGGATGAGTGCGAGACTCACTGTCACACATCACACACGCATGTCACACACGCTAAACACCGCAAGCCACCCCACAGAACACGCCAAAGACGGAGGAATCTCTGACTCTTGAGATTTTATTCATTCTCTTAAATAAATATAAAGTTGTCAGAGACGCACACAGTCACATTTATACAATCATAACAGGAAAAGCCTTAAATAGTCCCCATTAAAACCTGAACACAATAAAAAAAACATAGACACAAAGACACACAGTAATGTTTCACAGCCTTTGGGAAGAAATTCCCCTCTCCCCGCGCCCCCCCACACACCCTCAGGGCCTCTGCGAAGACCCTCCTACCCCCACCCTCCCTGTTGGGATGGGGTTAGGGATGCGGGAGGTGATTTGGGGGTGCGGTTAATGCTGGGGGCGGAGTCGGGGCGGTGCTCGGGATGGGATGAGGCGGAGTTAGGGATGCGGGAGGTGATTTGGGGGTGTGGTTAATGCTGGGGGCGGAGTCGGGGCGGTGCTCGGGATGGGATGAGGCGGAGTTAGGGACGCGGGAGGTGATTTTGGGGTGTGGTTAATGCTGGGGGCGGAGTCGGGGCGGTGCTTGGGGTGGAATGGGGAGGAGTTAGGGACGCGGAGGATGATTTGTGGGCGGTTTACAGGTGGGAGGGGGAGGAGTCGGGGGCGGGGTTCGGGTGGGGGAGGAGTTGAGGGCGGGGTCCGTGATGAGGGCGGGGTCCGGGTGGAAGGACCATCAGATGAAGACACTGGGCGCTTCCTGCTGCTGCTCCTGGTCCGGGCGACGTCGCGCGGAATGATCGAGAAGCAGCTCCTTCTCTCGCGCCAGACAGCGCGCCAACTCCTTCCTCTTGTAGTTACGATAGACCTTCAGGAAGGCGAGGACACCCAGTACAGCCCACACCACCCAGATACTCCACAGCCCAAACTGCAAGCCAAACACAGCCGCCATTACCCCAACACCTACCCCAACACCAACACCAACCACAACAACCACCCCAACACCAACACCAACCCCAACCACAACATCTACACCAACTACAACAACCCAGATACTCCACAGCCCAAACTGCAAGCCAAACACAGCCGCCATTACCCCAACACCTACCCCAACACCAACACCAACCCCAACACCAACTACCACCACCCAGATACTCCACAGCCCAAACTGCAAGCCAAACACAGCCGCCATTACCCCAACACCAACCCCAACACCAACCCCAACCCCAACACCTACACCAGCACCAACCCCAACCCCAACCCCAACATCAACCCCAACACCAACCCCAACACCAACCCCAACCACAACAACCACCACCCAGATACTCCACAGCCCAAACTGCAAGCCAAACACAGCCGCCATTACCCCAACACCTACCCCAACACCAACACCTACACCTACACCTACACCTACACCAACACCAACACCAACCACAACACCAACACCCAGATACTCCACAGCCCAAACTGCAAGCCAAACACAGCCGCCATTACCCCAACACCAACCCCAACACCAACACCAACCCCAACCACAACATCTACACCAACTACAACAACCCAGATACTCCACAGCCCAAACTGCAAGCCAAACACAGCCGCCATTACCCCAACACCAACCCCAACCCCAACCCCAACACCAACACCAACACCAACCCCAACCACAACATCTACACCAACTACAACAACCCAGATACTCCACAGCCCAAACTGCAAGCCAAACACAGCCGCCATTACCCCAACACCTACCCCAACACCAACACCAACACCTACCCCAACACCTACACCAACCCCAACACCAACACCAACCACAACAACCACCACCCAGATACTCCACAGCCCAAACTGCAAGCCAAACACAACTACCACCACCACAACAAGAACCACATCAACAACAATCACAACCACAACAACAACACGTGACATTTACACAGTCCCAAGGCATCGAAAAATCAGTGTTTCGAACCCAGTCTGCCTGGGAATCGTACCCAGGTGTAGTGACTGTGTGTTTTGCAGGCGAAACGCAGCAGCCAATTGCGCACAACGACGTCCCCACAAACAGACGTGGATTGAAGTGACCAATTTATTATTATTTTGAAGGGATTATTACCCCTGGAAAGCGATCTGCCAATCGACTAACAAGCGGGTTCCTACTAACTGCTGGTAAACAGAGGCGTGCGCGCGTGTGTGTGTGTGTGTGTGCGTGTGTGTGCGCACGCGCGTGTGTGTGTGCGTAGAGTAAGGAAACTTGGCCAACGTTTCACCCTGACCCTGCCCGGCCGGGAATCGAACCCGGATCCTCTCGCTTGGGAGATGACTGAGCCACAGCGACTCCAAATAGTATTGTCCCGACCGACACAACTTATGTGAGTTTTACTGTATACGGAGAAAAGGAGAGGGTGTTGTGCAGGCTAAGACTGGTTGGAATTTTAGGCTCACCTGTGCCACCCTGAAATGGATATAGAAGGAAGAGGTGTCTACATCCAGGTGAAGGTTCATTGACTGCATTTCTTCACAGCTGGGAAAGAGAATAATATCTTAATAATATAATATTCAATTAGTTAGTTATTAATGGGTCAATATAACATATTGACCAGCGACGTCCCCACCCAAACAGCCGTGGATTGAGCGACCACATTATCATTTATTGAAGGGATTATTACCCCCGGAAAGTGATCCCCCAATGGACTAAAAAGCGGGTTCCTCCTGACTGCCGGGGACACAGGCGTGTGTGCGCGCGTGTGTGTGTGTGTGTGTGGGGGGGGGTGGGGGGTGTAAGGAAACTTGCTCAATGATTGAGGGAGGGAGAGAGTGACAGAGTTTCGGGGCGCAGGGGCTGAAGACACGGCCACCGATGGTGGAGTGGATCGGGGTGGGGGTGGGGTGGGGGGGGGTAAGTGAGGAGGATAAGGAGCTGAGTGAGTAAGAGAGGAAGCCGCACTCACCTGTTAGGCATTCTCCCGTGATCGGTCACCTCGTCGCACCACAAGCTGAAGCCCACGCTGACCATCACGCTGGCCACGATGGTGAGGAAGAGGACCGAGCAGCTCAGCACCAGGTTCAGGAACGCCGAGAGCAGGGTGCTGCCAAAAACACACCCGCAGACTGTCACCCCCTTTCCCCCACCGAGCCCCGCCGTTCCCGCAAACGACAACTTGCCTGCCCGCGCGCGCGCGCGTGTGTGTGTGTGTGTCCGTGTGCGTGGGGGGAGCGTGTGGGGGAGTAGGGAAACTTGCCTAAGGTTTCGCCCTGACCCGGCCCGGCCGGGAATGGAACCCGGGTATCTCTGGATTGCGAGGCGAGGGGTCTGACCCCTGAGCCGTGAAGCGAGCGAGCGAGCGATTTTTGGCCAGGATACCCAGGAGGGAATAAACTCCTCTCTCCCGCCCCCCCCCCCACACCCCCCCCCCACACCGCTCCAGCCACCGAATACTTAACGTCCACTTGACCAGAGCACAGACAGAGAGTCTTAACGTCTGATGAAGGGCAGCATCTCCAACCACACAGCCCTTCCCCAACACCCCCCCACCGCCGCGCCCCCCCCCCCCACCCACCGCAGCTCTGCACTATTCTCCAGAGAGACGGACAGATACGAGAGAGAGATAGAGTGTGAGAGAGAGAGAGAGAGGATGCACCGGAGAGATTGTGATTACAACAGCTAACGGCACAGATGGACAGTGGCAGCTGTGAGGGTCAAGTTGCTCAAGTGGAATATTCCCCCCAACCCCCCACCCCCGAATTTTCCCCCGCTGGAGCTCTCTCTCTCTCTCTCTCTCTCTCTCTCTCTCGCCTCCCCGCCACCACCCCAGCGTGTCTACGCCGGTGTATCGCGGGAGGCGTGCGTGGGGTGCCTGTGTGTGGACAGACATGGGGCGGGTGGGGGTGGAGGGGGTGCGGGTGGGGGTGTTGTGTGTGTTATTGCACCGAATAAATAATAAATAAACAAACAGTAGTGGCTTTTAATCGGGGTTCAAACAGATGGCCCCCAGCATTTGGCCAAACACAGGGGGGGGTCCATCCATTTGAACCCCGATAATTATAACGCAACTCAACCCCGGCGTAGCAGTAATAATTAATTAATGAATAATAATAATAATTATTATTAATAATAATAATAATACTAAGGCCTTTCAGACCAAGGACGACCACGTCAAAGCGCTTCACAGGATTCAACAGCAAACAAACAAACAACAACGACGACAACAAACCACGTTAAACAACATAGCGGCGTTGAATTAAATAAAATAAGAATGACAACAATCTTCGCACTTGACCCAGCGCCTTCCTCCCGTCGTTGGGACGTCCTCGAGGACGTCGAGGTGCGGCCCCCGTTTCGCCCGCCAAGCACACTCGGGAGCGCGCGCCTGCCCCCGCGGAAGCGCTTCGGGACGCCTCTCATCCCTACTGTCGGGCGCCGTGAGCGACTGGGACTCACTCGTCGTGGCCCTTGCACAGGTAGAAGAAGGTCCTCCAGGCTTGCGCGGCCGAGAAGATGAGGGTGAAGACGCCCACGAAGGTGCAGAAGTGGCAGCCGGCCGGCGGGCCCCAGGCCCCGACCACGAAGCGGGAGATGACCGAGGAGCCGCCGGTCGCGTTCTCCTGCCGCCAGGAGGCCTCGCTGAACAGGAGGCAGCGGTCCCCGAACCGGCTGCCGTTCTCGGCCAAGGGCACGACCACCAGCAACGAGAGCAGCAGCCCCAGGAAGTAGGCCACGCACTGGCACAGCAGCAGCTTGTTGGGGAACTCCATGGCGGCTCACGTCAACCTTGGCGTGGGCGATGGGCCGTGGGCGATGGGCCGTGGGCGATGGGCCGTGGGCGTGCGCGTGTCCTCCACCTCCCAACGGGGGTGGTGGGCGGGTGGTTGGGGTGGTGGGTGGGTGGTGATGGTGGTTGGGGTGGTGGTGGGTGGTTGGGTGGGGGGTGGTGGGGTGGGTGGGTGGGGGGGGGGGGTGGGGTGGGTGCTGAAAGAGAGAGGGAGAGTAAGAAAGACCGAGAACGAACAAGAGAGAGGGAGGAAGGGAGGGATGGAGAGAGTGGGGGAGTGTGAGGGAGAGGGAGAGAGCGAGAGGGAGGGAGGGGGAGAGAGTTGGGGGAGTGTGAGAGGGAGGGAGCGAGAGGGAGGGAGGGGGAGAGAGTGGGGGGAGTGTGAGAGGGGGGGAGGGAGAGGGAGGGGAGAGAGGGAGCGTGAAAGAGCAAGAGAGAGAGAGAGAGAGCGAGAGAGGGAGGACGAGAGAGAGCGAGAGACAGAGAAAGGGAAAGCGAGACGGCTTTAAATCACAGCTGGTGGTGGTGGTGGTGGGGGGGGTGGGGGGGGTCCTCTGTTCAATGCCTACGGAGGCTGAGAGCGAGAGAGAGAGAGAACGAGAGAGGGAGAGAAAAAGAGAGAGTGAAAGAGAGAGTGTGAGCGAGAGAGAGAGAGAGAGAGAGAGCGACGGTGAGGAAGAGGGAGCGAGAGAGCCTTAAAATCACAGCTGGCGTTACAAAGGGAGACACACCATCTGTCTCCCCAGTGGATTGGTTTCCGACCCTCCCTCTCTCCCCCCTTCCGCCCCCCCCCACCCCCCCCCCCCACCCCCCGCCTCCCCCCCCACCCCCGCTCCCCACCCCCCGCCCTCCCCCCGCCGGCTCGCTGTGTATTTCCCTGTAGCTGCACATTTTCCGAGGGGTGGGGGGTGGGGGGGGGGGCAATAAATCCTTCAATTAAAAAAAATCGGTCACGTCGACCCCCCCCCCACCCCTCCCCGCCGCAACACACAGTCACTACACTCGACAGCGCGGTCCCGTGGAGCGCTTCGAGACGTCTCGCCGACGCGATCAGGCGCCGGGGTCACACCCCGGGGGTCATTATTATTTATTACTAATTCTTTATTACTAATTATTATTATTATTTATTACTAATTCTTTATTACTAATTATTATTATTATTTATTACTAATTATTTATTACTAATTATTATTATTAATTATTTATCATTTATCACTAATAACATAACTATTAATATAAACAATTATGATCGACATTAGCCATTATTATAAGGAATTATAATTCTTATGATTATTGATAGAATTAGTTATTATTAAAAGAATGTTATTATTAATGGAATTAATTATTATTAAAAGAATTAGTTATTATTAATGGAATTAGTTTTTATTATCAGAATTAGTTATTATTAAAATAATTAGTTATTATTAACAGAATTAGTTATCATTATTAAAATAATTAGTTATTATTAACAGAATTAGTTATCATTATTAAAATAATTAGTTATTATTAAAAGAATGTTATTATTAATGGAATTAGTTATTATTAAAAGAATGTTATTATTAATGGAATTAGTTATTATTAAAAGAATTAGTTATTATTAATGGAATTAGTTTTTATTATCAGAATTAGTTATTATTATTAAATAATTAGTTATTATTAATAGAATTAGTTATCATTATTAAAATAATTAGTTATTATTAACAGAATTAGTTATCATTATTAAATAATTAGTTATTATTAAAAGAATGTTATTATTATGGAATTAATTATTATTAAAGAATTAGTTATTATTATTGGAATTAGTTTTTATTATCAGAATTAGTTATTATTAAAATAATTAGTTATTATTAACAGAATTAGTTATCATTATTAAAATAATTAGTTATTATTAACAGAATTAGTTATCATTATTAAAATAATTAGTTATTATTAAAAGAATGTTATTATTAATGGAATTAGTTATTATTAAAAGAATTAGTTATTATTAATGGAATTAGTTTTTATTATCAGAATTAGTTATTATTATTAAAATAATTAGTTATTATTAACAGAATTAGTTATCACTATTAAAATAATTAGTTATTATTAACAGAATTAGTTATCATTATTAAAATAATTAGTTATTGTTGAAAGAATGTTATTATTAATGGAATTAGTTATGAGCGATTAAAAGCAATGAGGTGGTTGTGCGCACGCGCAGTGCGGTAGGCCGCGGGAGCGCGACCGCGCATGCGTGAACCAGGGCGGGTTGTTTTGGCGCCTTTTCCCCCGGTTGCCCGGGGTGACCGCGCGCGGGTGGAAGGGGCTGGTTTCCGGTTCCGCTTTCGGCTGGAGCGAGCGGATGGCGTTGGTGCCGAACGGCGGTGATGGCGGCGACCCAGCGGCCTCTCCCCCCAGCTGCAAGCGGCCCCGGGCCGAGCTGGAGCCCCAGGCGGTGCCGGGGGAGCCCGGGCCGAGATCCGGGCCTGGGCTGAAGCCGGAGCCTCCTGTCGCCCCGGCCCCGGGTAACCTGGTGACGGTGGTGCTCGGCGCCCAGTGGGGGGATGAGGGCAAAGGGAAGGTCGTGGATCTGCTCGCGCAGGACGCCGAGCTGGTGTGCAGGTGTCAGGTGAGAGGTCAGCCCCGCCCCCAACCCCGGCCCCCCGCCCACAACCCTAGGCCCCGCCCACACCATCATTCGCCCCCCCCCCAGGCTCCACCCACACCATCGCTCTCCCAGCCCCGCCCACTTCATTCACCAAAGCCCCGCCCCGAACGTCACTCCGCCAGCCCCGCCCACACCCACTCCCCCTCAGCCCCACCCATACTATCAGTTGCCCCCCAAACCCCGCCCACATCCCAAAGGCCCCACCCACAATGTCACTCCCCAGCCCCGCCCACACACTCCCCAGCCCCACCCCCACAGCCCCGCCCACACAATCCCCAGCCCCGCCCACACACTCCCCCAGCCCCGCCCACACACTCCCCAGCCCCGCCACACACTATCTCAGCCCCGCCCACACACACCCAGCCACACCCACACTCCCCCAGCCCCCCCACACTCCCCCAGCCACGCCCACACTCCCCCAGCCGCACCCACACTCCCCCAGCCCCGCCCACACACTCCCCCAGCCCCGACCACACTCCCCCAGCCCCGCCCACACACTCCCCCAGTCCCACTCCTCCTTCCCCAGACCCACCCCCTCTTCCTCAGCTCCGCCCCCCACTGCCACTCCCCCACATTCCCCACGCGCAGGTGTCAATGGGGGTAAGCCCTACCCCCTCACCAACCGTTCCCATACACCCCCGCGCGCCCCCCCCCACCACCACCCACTCTCAATAACCCCCAACCCCGCCCCCCCACCCCCACTCTCTCCCGCTCCACCCCAAGACTCTGTATGAAACGCATCGATGATTATTACTGCCATTCCCGGGATCCGGCGGGTCTGATCAGCGTGTCCTCTGTGTGTCTGTCCGCGTGTCTGTCCCGTGTCTGTCTGCGTGTGCGTCACAGGGTGGAAACAACGCCGGCCACACCGTGGTGGTGGACTCCGTGGAGTACGACTTTCACCTGTTGCCCAGCGGAGTCATCAACAAGAACGCCATCTCCTTCATCGGTGAGCGAGTGTGCGCGTTTGTCCCGCCTTCACCTGACGGGCCTTTGGGAAGTGACTGAGATCCGCGGGGGGTGGGGGGGGGGTGGGGATGGGGGTGAGGGCAGACCGGGGGCTTCGGTTTGGAGGGGAAAGCACAAAGGATTTACATCTTTACAGCAACTCCACAACACGGCATTTGCCCGGCGCCCCTCACGCGAGGCGGCGTCCCAGAGCGCTGGTCAGCGGCTGAGCTCCACACCAAGGAAGCCGGGGTGAAGGGGGAGGTGGCCACTGGTTGAAGAGGAAGTATGGCTGAAAGCGCGGCCACCGATGGACTCTGACCACTGCGCTACGCGACTTTATCATCCGGTACAGATGGACTGAGGTCCCATCTGTCAGTCTTATCGGTAGAGCAGCCCCTCCAACAAGCAGAGCTCCCGCAGCACGGACTTAAAGCAGTGAGGCACCACCCTGCCTGCCGGGTTCCATAGTTCCTTCTTGTTGGGAGCGTCAATCTGTACTGATTATTATTATTATAACATTCACCGCTGTTTTGCTGACTCCCTGTCTCCCAGGTAACGGTGTGGTGATCCACTTGCCTGGCCTGTTTGAGGAAGCTGAGAAGAATCTTCACAAAGGGAAAGGTGAGCAGTGTCTCAACTGGAGCTCTCCTGTGAAACAGTGTGTGCGTGTGCGTGCGTATGTGTGGAGGTTGCTTCCACTCAATGCTGGATAAATAGAGGTGTGTGCGCGTGCGGGTGTGTGGAGTAAGGAAACTTGCCTAAGATTTCTTCCTGCCCGGCCGGGAATCGGACCCAGGTCCTCTCGCTCGCGAGGCGAGCCCTCTCACCACTGAGCTACGTGGGTTTATAATTCTTTTCCTCTTCCACCGCAGGGCTGGAGGGCTGGGAGTCCAGGACGGTGATCTCAGATCGCGCCCACATTGGTGAGTTTGTGTGTCTGAGCCTCGTCACGTCGTGCGTCTTTGTTTTGATAATTGCAGAGACCGATCTGAGGTTCGGGAAGATCTTGAATGAAATACTCTCTCTCGCTGACTGAGTCCTGCACGTCAGCCATTACGCCCCGAAACTCTTGTCACTTTCTTCCTCTATCGCTCCCTCCGCCCCTTCCTTCCCCGTCTTCAGGTCGCGCCTGAAGACCTTCCTCTTTGACCGTGGCTGCGGTCGCCTCCCTTTGCCTCCCGGCTCGGGTGTCGTGCTCAGCCGCTGTGAAGCGTGAGGGGCCGCTGGTTAATTGCAAGTTGTTGTTGTTGTTGACCTTCCTCCTTTGCTCTCCTTTCACAGTGTTTGATTTCCACCAGGCGGTGGATGGGGTGCAGGAGCAACAGAGGCAGGAGCAGGCCGGGAAGAAGTGAGTAGGAGCCTTCCCTCTTGACACTGCCTTCCTTATTGTGATCCAGCACAAAGCTGTAATCTCTCCCAGTCAATATACTACTGTCAAACCCTGTCTGACTGATCTCCACTGGCTCCCAGTGCCTCAGGGCATTAGTCAATGGCTGATTGGCATTTATTCCTCCTCCAACAACACACCTTCACTCATGCTACTCGTACTCGTGGAGTCCTGTAGCTCAGGGGTTACAGCCCTCGCCTCGCAAGCGAAAGGACTTGGGTTCCATTCCCGTCCGGGAAGTCAGGGTGAAACGTTAGACAAGTTTCCTTACTCCACACACACTCCTCTGTTTACCAGCAGTCGGTAGGAACCCGCTGGTTAGTCAGTTGGCGGATCGCTTTCCGAGGGTAATATTCCCTTCAAAAATATCAACCCACGGCTGTTTGTGGGGACGTCGTTGGGCACAGTTCGTCCCACAAAACACACAGCCACTACACTTCACAGTGTATCCTGTGAAGCGCTTTGAGACGTCTCGAAGACGTGATGAGGCGCTGTGTCAAATGCAAAGATTATTATAAGTTGTTGTTGTTGCTCCTGACAGCCTGGGAACCACCAAGAAAGGCATCGGGCCTGTGTACGCGTCCAAAGCCTCTCGCACCGGCCTCCGCATCTGTGACCTGCTGTCGGACTTCGATGAGTTCTCAAAGCGGTGAGTCTTGAGACGGAGTCGGGCGACACTGCTATAGGGAGGGAGCTCTGGGACGCTGCCTTGTGTCCTGGGTTCGATTCCCGGGCGGGCGGGCGGGTCAGGGTGAAACCTTCGGCAAGTTTCCTTACTCCCCCCACACACACACACACGCGCACACACACACGCACACACACGCGCGCGCGCCCCTGTTTACCAGCAGGAAGTAGGACCCCGCTTGTCAGTCGATTGGCGGAGCACTTCCCAAGCGTAATAATCTCTCAAATAATAATAATGCGGTCACTCAATCCACGGCTGTTTGTGGGGACCTCGCTGGGCCCAATTGGCTGCTGCCTTTCTCCCGCAAAATACACAGTCACTACACTTCCCGGTGCATCCCGTGAAGAGCTTTTGAGACGTCCAGACGACCTGATAAGGCGCCGGGTCGAATGCAGGGATTATTTATGATGACATTCTCCTCTCCCTCTCCCTCTCTCGCTGCAGGTTCCGACTCCTGGCTGAGCAGTACAAAGCCATGTACCCCATCCTGACGGTGGACATTGAGGGGGAGTTGGAGAAGCTGAAGGTAAGAGGTGGGTGTGGACCCTCTCTCGGGGCGAGGTTGCCCCCGAAGGAGGGAGGGGCTGGGTATGGAGATTGGTGGGAGGAGCCAGGCCTGGGGGGAGGAGCTGGGCCTGGGGGGAGGAGCCGGGCCTGGGGGAGGAGCCAGGCCTGGGGGGAGGAGCCGGGCCTGGGGGAGGAGCTGGGCCTGGGGGGAGGAGCCGGGCCTGGGGGAGGAGCCGGGCCTGGGGGAGGAGCCGGGTCTGGGGGGAGGAGCCGGGCTGGGGGGAGGAGCCAGGCCTGGGGGAGGAGCCGGGCTGGGGGAGGAGCTGCGGAGGAGCCAGGCCTGGGGAGGAGCCGGGCCTGGGGGAGGAGCCGGGCCTGGGGGAGGAGCTGGGCCTGGGGGGAGGAGCCGGGCCTGGGGGGAGGAGCTGGGCCTGGGGGGAGGAGCCAGGCCTGGGGGGAGGAGCCGGGCCTGGGGGGAGGAGCCGGGCCTGGGGGAGGAGCCGGGCCTGGGGGGGAGGAGCCGGGCCTGGGGGGAGGAGCCCGGCCTGGGGGGAGGAGCCGGGCCTGGGGGGAGGAGCCGGGCCTGGGGGAGGAGCCGGGCCTGGGGGGAGGAGCCCGGCCTGGGGGGAGGAGCTGGGGGTGACACTCAGTGACCGATGCCCTCTCTCGGGGCGAAGTGGCCAGGGTCAGGACATGGCCCCTGGTGAGGGAGGGAGGGGCTGGGCGGCGGGAGGAGGAGGGGCTGGGGCTGGTGGAGGGCGGAGCCAGGCCAGGGGGAGGGGCTGGCAGAGTGGCTGGGGGAGGAGCCTGGTGTGACACTGTCAGTGACCGATGCCCCCCCCCCCTCAGGGCTACGTGGCCAGGATACGGCCCCTGGTGAAGGACGGGGTGTACTACATGTACAAGGCACTGCACGGCCCCCCGAGGAAGATCCTGGTGGAGGGGGCCAACGCGACACTGCTGGACATCGACTTCGGTGAGAAACTGGCCGCGGCGTGTGTGAGTGTGTCGGTGGGTGAGTGTGTGTGTAAGTGTGTCGGTGTGTGTCTGTGTGTGTGTGAGTGTGTCTGAGTGTGTGTCTGTGTGTGTGTGAGTGTGTCGGTGTGTGAGTGTGTCGGTGTGTGAGTGTGTCGGTGTCTGAGTGTGTGTGTAAGTGTGTCGGTGTGTGTCTGTGTGTGTGTGAGTGTGTCTGAGTGTGTGTGTGTGTCGGTGTGTGTCTGTGAGTGTCTGTGTGTGTGTTGGTGTGTGTCTGAGTGTGTGAGTGTGTCGGTGTGTGTCTGTGTGTGTGTGAGTGTGTCGGTGTGTGTCTGTGTGTGTGAGTGTGTCTGAGTGTGTCGGTGTGTGTCTGTGTGTGTGAGTGTGTCGGTGTGTGTGTGAGTGTGTCGGTGTGTGTCTGTGAGTGTGTGAGTGTGTCGGTGTGTGTGAGTGTGTTGGTGTGTGTCTGTGTGTGTGTCTGAGTGTCTGTGAGTGTGTTGGTGTGTGTCTGTGTGTGTGTGTGAGTGTATGTCTGTGTGTGTGAGTGTCTGTGTGTGTGTGTGTGTGCGTGTGTCTGTGTGTGTCTGTCTGTGTGCGTGTGTCTGTGTATGTCTGTGTGTGTGTGAGTGTCTGTGTGTGTGTGTCTGTGTGTGTGTGTGTGAGTGTCTGTCTGTGTGCGTGTGTCTGTGTATGTGTGTGTGTGTGTGTTTGTGAGTGTGTGGGGGGGGGGGGGCTGCGGACATGCCAGATGAAGTCTTCGAGACGTCTCAAAAGCGCTTCATGGGATCGCTGTCCGGTGTAGTGGCTGTGCGTTTCGCGGGGCCAGTCGATGTATAACTGAGCCCTGTCCTGTTGCTGGGTTGCAGGTACTTACCCCTTCGTGACCTCCTCAAACTGCACGGTGGGGGGGGTCTGCACCGGCCTGGGAATCCCCCCCCGGAACATCGGGGCTGTGTACGGTGTGGTGAAGGCTTACACCACCCGTGTGGGGGTGGGGGCTTTCCCCACCGAGCAGGACAACGTGAGTAACCTTTCCTACAGGGTGAGGTGGGGGTGGGGGGGGCGGGGTGGGGGGGGGATGGTGTCTGAGCCGCTTGTTAAAGGCGGTGGGGATGGGGTGGCGGGTGGGGGGGGGGTCCTGATTCAAACGAGGAACCGACTGACCGTTGCAGGCGCTGGGCTGTCTGTGGGTGTGCGCTTGTGCGTATGTGTCAGGCTGAGCTCTGGCTGTGTGTGTGTGTGTGTCAGGCTGCGCTCTGGTTGTGTGTGTGTGTTAGTGTGTGTCAGGCTGCGCTCTGGCTGTGTGTGTGTGTGTGTTAGGCTGCGCTCTGGTTGTGTGTGTGTGTTAGTGTGTGTCAGGCTGCGCTCTGGCTGCGTGTGTGTGTGTGTGTCAGGCTGCGCTCTGATTGTGTGTGTGTGTGCGTGTGTCAGGCTGCGCTCTGGTTGTGTGTGTGTGTGTGTGTGTGTGTCAGGCTGCGCTCTGATTGTGTGTGTGTGTGCGTGTGTCAGGCTGCGCTCTGGTTGTGTGTGTGTGTCAGGCTGCGCTCTGATTGTGTGTGTGTGTGTGTGTGTCAGGCTGCGCTCTGGCTGTGTGTGTGTGTGTGTGTGTGTGTGTCAGGCTGCGCTCTGATTGTGTGTGTGTGTGCGTGTGTCAGGCTGCGCTCTGGTTGTGTGTGTGTGTGTGTGTGTCAGGCTGCGCTCTGGCTGTGTGTGTGTGTGTGTCAGGCTGCGCTCTGGCTGTGTGTGTGTGTGTGTGTGTCAGGCTGCGCTCTGGCTGTGTGTGTGCGTGTGTGTGTGTGTCAGGCTGCGCTCTGGCTGTGTGTGTGTGTGTGTGTAGTTAAACCTGTTGCCTGTGTGTGTTGTAGGCACTGGGGGAGAAGCTGCAGACTCGGGGACGGGAGGTTGGGGTGACCACAGGCCGTAAACGCCGCTGTGGTTGGTTGGACCTGGTGCTGGTCAAATACGCCCACATGATCAACGGCTTCACAGCGTGAGTATCACTGAGCTTCTCTGTGCCATTCCTAAACCTCTACCCCCCCCCCCACCCCCCCCTTTGCTGCTGCACCCACCACACCACACCGTCCGTGCCACAGAGGTGGGGTCCTGAACCCCTCATCTTCCACAGCTATTTACAACAACAACTTGCATTTATATGGCCCCTTTCAAGCCGGGCGGCATCTCTGAGCGCTTAACAGTGGCGGAGTTTAACACTACAATACAGAGTGGCATTCCCCCCCCCCAGCGCCTGCCTTTCCCGTCAGGAGGGAGGATGTCCCAAGGCGTTGGACAGTCGGGGGTATGGACCCGAGCCGGACAGGGGGTTGGGATCAGGAGGGCGGGGAGGGTGGGGGGGTAGGAGGGTGACCGACGGCGCAGTCGGTCGAAGAGGAGGGACTTGAAGAAGGGGAGGAAGAGGGAGGGATGGAATTCCAGAGGGTGGGTAGCGCCAGGAGGGGGAACGTGGAGCCGGCTGGAGCCGGCGAGCGGAGGGAGCGGACAGGCGGACACGGGGCCAGCAGGTCACAGAGTAAGCCCGAGGGAGTCCGGCCTCTGGCCACTGTTCCAGCGTGAGTCGACCGAGCTTTGCGATGTCGTGGGGATGTGAGGAGGTGCTCTTATCGAGGGCGAGGAACGTCAGTAACAACCTCTCTCTGTGCAGTCTGGCGCTCACCAAACTGGACATCCTCGATACCCTCGAGGAGCTGAAGATTGGAATTGGCTACAGGCTGGAGGGCAAGACTATTCCCTATTTCCCAGGTGAGAGACCTCATGGATTATTTACACGTTTTATTTTTTTTTAATCCGTGGAGACCCTGAGGCTCGGCGGTTGCAGCCCTCGCCCCGCTTGGGGGACTTTGAGCTGAGGTATGGACAGATCAGCCTTGATCTAATAGAATGGCGGGACAGGCTCGAGAGGCTGAATGGCCTCCTCCTGTTCCTACGAGTGAGGTGAGGTCAGGCGATGCCGGCTTCCCTCCGGAAGACACCGAGAGACAGCACTTTGCCTGATGTGTGGCCCGGGAGCTGCGCGGGATCTCTCAGTCTGCGTCTCTGCTCTTTTCCTTGCAGCCAACCAGGAGGTGTTGAACAAGGTGGAGGTGGAGTACGTGACCTTCCCAGGCTGGAAGACCAGCACGGAAAAGGCCCGGTCCTTCCAGGAGCTTCCGGACAACGCCAGGCAGTACGTGAAGTACATCGAGGAGCATATCGGCGTTCCCAGTGAGTACACAAGTCCGTCAGGGGTCCTCTTCCCCTTACACCCCCCCCCCCCCAACCACCCTGTCCACTGAGTCGTAGAATCTTACATACAATGCCGTGTTTCGCCCACAAAATACACAGTCACTACACTCGACAGTGTATCCCGTGAAGCGCTTTGAGACGCCTCGAAGACGTGATGAGGCGCATTTACGCAGCGCCCCCTCACCCGGGTTCCACTCAAGACACCATCCTCGCGCCCGCTCACCGTTCTGTCCTTCCTTCGCAGTTAAATGGATCGGGATCGGAAAATCCCGCGAATGTATGATCCGGATATTCTGAGGCTGTTCGGAATAGCGGGGGGGCGGCGAGGTCAGAGCGGGGTTAACCCTTTGTGAGGCTGGTGGGACACACTCGAGACCCCCGCTCTGTCCTAGGACAGAGAGTTGCTATCGCGCTTCCGCCCTCTGGTCTCCGCTCCTCTCAATTATCCCGACATCGTACTTCGCTATCGAGAGGAATTACTCAATCAATTAATCAACCAATCGCTCGGTCAGTAACGTCCGTTACTCCCTCCGTTAGAGAGGAGAGACTTCCCTCTGGCATTCCAGGGGATCTTTTTTTATTATTTTATATAACCCCCCCCTCCCCCGCCCCACTTTCTGAGTGACTTTTTATAACATGGATGGATTGAACGTGTCAAGTGACAAATGCCAGGATTCTCGTTGGTCCTATTTGTGTGCGCGGCTGTCGACAGGACAGCTGCCCAGCCCAGCCCAGCCCAGCCCAGCGCCCACGTGTAGTCCCCTTGCCTGTTTGTGTCGTGGGCTCTGGTTTTGCTGAGGAGCTCCCTGTATCGCATGGCGTTTCGACCTTAAAAGGTTTTAAAATCATCCCTTCGTATCAGCAACGCACATCTCCACCCACACACACCCACACCCACATCCTATGCCTGTTTCTGTCCATCGCTGGCTGTTCTGTTCAGCAAAAAAATGCTACTTAAAACCAGTGTGGTATTAAAAAGGGACTCTTCACATTCCCCCGGCACAGGCCCAGGTCCCTGGCTCAGCCGGTTTTGTACGTTCAGTGTCCACTGTATCTTTGTCGATGAATAAACAGCAATAAATCGCACTTAACAGCAATAAAATAAATCCCCCCCCCCCCCCGAAAAAAAAAAGAGGTGTAATTGTAAGCGGTTTTAAGGACGTTACGGATAGACCTCGGCGACCTGGGGAGAGGGGGGAGGAGGAGGGATCCAGGTTGATGCTGGAATTTCCGGCTTGGGTGATGGGGAAAAACTGGCAGTGCCGGGAAGTTCCACTACTCCTCGCTCCGATAATGAGGAGCCAGAGAGAGAGAGAGAGAGAGAGGAGGCGGCTCCGTGACATATTCCCCCCCCCCCCCCCTCTCCCAAAAGCCCTACACCGCGTCAACCAAACATAGACTTCCAACAACTTCCGGTAATTCCCGCCAAACCTTTCCGTTCCTCGGCCGTTGGTTAACAGCGACGGGGTCAAGCGTTTGTTCAGTCATCCCTTAAAGCAATCGCTGAACCGGTGGGCCAGACTGCCAAAGAGATGTCCTGTGCTGTTGCCTCGATCTGTCTCCACACTCCTTTCACTACTGTCTATGCACTGAAATGTAATAAAGCACTGAAATGATCATCGACTGACCGACTGGGGCTCCTTTTATGTCGTCGCCCGTGGGTTGGAGTCGGAACGCCGGTGTTTAAGCCCCACATCGGGGGGTGGGGTGGGTACCATCTCGTATTCCAGGCTGACAGTGCTGGGTGGGGAGTGGGGTGGTGGGGAAGCACCGCAGTGAGGTCCTGTCGCTCGGCGCTTAGAGAGCACTTGCCTCGCAAGCGAGAGGACCCGGGTTCGATTCCCGGCCGGGCGGGTCAGGCCAGAGCAAAACCTTGAGCGAGTTTCCATACTGCCCGCACCAACACACCACACACACACCTCTGTTTACCCGCAGTCGGTAGGAACCCGGTCGTCAACAGTCAATTGGCGGATCGCTTTTCTGGGGGTTAATAATCCCTTCCAAAACATACAAAATAACAGTCACTTCAATCCACGGCTGTTCGCGGGGACGTCGCCGGGCGCAATTGGGCGCCGTGTTTCGCTCAGCATCAAACGCAAGGGTTATAATTATTATTATTATTATTATTATTATCGGAGGCACTGTCCTTCGATTGAAATGTTAAACCGGAGGCCCCCATCTGCCTGTCCGGCCCGAGCTTCCTTAGAAAGAGAAGGCAGCTTCTCCACGATTGCACTGATCCCTTGAAACGCTTTGAGGTGACCCCAATGACGCATTATATCGTACGCAAGGATTACTATAATTTATTGTCTAAACTTTACTGCTTTAAAAAATAGTCCTGTCCAGGCGAGGAGACCCGATTGCAAACTCCAATCAGCAGCTGCGTGTGGGGTGCGTGTGCGTGTGTGCGCGCGCTCGCGTGTGTTTTCCATGGATGACCTTTACCGCTTGGGAACAAATTCACGGAGTGGTTTGTATTTTACAGGGGTGGTGGGGGGTGTGGGGGGCAGAGGGGTGTGGGGGGGCGGCAATATATATATAATATATATTAAAAAGAAAAAACTTTTGTTTAAAAATTTATATCTCTGTCGAACAACCACCATTGGGGGAGGGTGTGTGGGGGGGGGGGGGGCGGGGTGGGGGGGAGGAAAAAAATCACCACGTGTCTGTGTTAAAAGAAAGTCTCTCTTAACGCCGTCAGGCTGCCCCTTTCAGACGATGTGCCAAACGGGGCTGTCCCTTTGAGAACAGTGGACCATCTCTTTTCAGCAGAGTGTGGGGTGGGTGGGTGGGTGGGTGGGCTGTCTCTCTCTTAACGAGGGAGCACGGGTGCGCGTGTGCGAGAGCGTGCCCGAGCGAGCGTGATTCCCAGGAGCCCTGGGACGTTGTCCTGACGTGAAAGGCGCTGCACAAGTGAGAGAGTGTGAGCGAGAGAGTGTGTGAGTGAGTGAGTGAGTGCAGGAGAAAAGGTGCGCCAGAGCGAGTGAGGAAGTGCGAGAGCGAGCGAGGGTGTAAGAGTGAGCGTGTACATGAGCGTTGTAAGAGTGTGTGCGAGAAAATGTGAGCGTGTCAGAGCGGGCGTACGAGAGGGTCTGAGTGTGCGAGAGAGTCTAAGAGCGAGAGGTGGTGCGCGCGTGTGTGTGTGTGTGTGTGATCGAGTGAGAGAGAAAGTGTGTGCAGGAGAGAGTAAGTGAGCGAGAGAGTGAGTGTGAATGGAGAGGAGGAGGAGGAGGAGGAGAGACCAAGTGGCTTCACTTCACTTCCACATGACGGGGGGTTTGCTGTCCAGCCACTTCCACGTGACGGCGGAGTCTGTGCAGGCGGGGTGGCGGGGGGGGGCTGACGAAGACGACGAAGACGATGGCGCGGTTGCCGTTGCCACCGCCGCCGTCGACGAAGACGAAGGTGCGACCGCGGGAGGCGACGAGGCCAGGTGGTGGGCCTGGTGGTACTTGCGCATGTGCCGGTACAGGTCGCCAGACTGGGAGTAGCGCCGCAGGCAGAAGCGGCAGCGGTGGGGCCTCTCGCGGGTGTGGACCAGGGCGTGGCGCTTCAGGCTGTAGGAGCACGAGAAGGTCTTCCCGCACGAGGGGCAGGTGGGCAGCTCCTCCTCCGAGCCGGACCCCGGCGGCGGAAAGTCCTGGAAGAACAGCTTGGCGTGGGCGTGCTGGTGGTGGGCCAGGGGCAGCAGGGGCAGGGGTAGGGGCGGGCAGTACATGCCGTGGGCCCCGTAGACCTCCTCTTCGGCCTCGTCGAACTCCTCGTCCGAGATGACGATATGGGCTCCGGGGTCTCCGTCTCCGCCTTCGGGCTGGTCCGCGGTTAAGGAGTCTCCCGGGCCCGGGGGCAGGGGCGGAGGAGGAGGACGAGGAGGAGGAGGAGAAGGAGTGGAGAGGGGGTTGTGATGAAAGACACCCAAGTTACAGCCGCCGTTGTCGTGGAGACCGGGCGGCCTGCTGGGGGCCACCAGGGCCTCCTCCTCGCCCCCACCGGCCCCTCCGCCCATCGCCTCGTCTCCCTCCGCAAACAGCTCGTCCTCCACCTTGACGGTGATCAAGTCCACCCCGGCCTCACCCTCGCCATCGGTGCCCAACAGGACACGCGAGGCCCCCACCTTGTCCATGGAGCCCCCACCTCCCCCTCCCCCCGTGGAGCAGTCAGAGTCGGGGTGAGGCCAGGGAGCTGAACCCTCTCTCTCCAGCGACCGCAGGGCAGACTCAGTGGAGCTGCAGGGACTCGCCAGGAGGTTGTCCCGTTTGCTGGGGTGCGGGTCCGTCTCCATCCCGGGCTGCGTGGTGTCCGCCACGCCCCCGTTGCCCCCGCCCCCGCAGGGCTCCCCCAAACCTGCCAGCTGCGGCCCGAGCAACACGGGCGTCGAGGAGAGGCCCTGGCGGTCACCGAACGACCGGCCGACGTAGCGGCAGGGAGTGGGCGCCTCCTTGTGACGGTGGGCAGCGGGTCGCCAGGCGTGGGGGTACCCGTGGGGGTGCCCGTGGGGATGCCCGGGGTCCGGGGCCCCCAGAAGCGGCGCCTCGTCCTCCTTCCTGGTGCTGTCGGCCTCTGCCAAGGCCCGGGCCTTGAGCCGAGCCTTGCACAGCTTGACGATGTCGTTCATGTGCAGGAAGCTCGCGGCTGCCAACACGTCCTCCACGGGGGTCCCGCACAGTCGCAGGCAGCCCTCGTACATGAACTCCAGCAGCAGGGAGAAGGCGGAGGCCGTCACTATCTCATCGTCCAGGCACACCACCTCCCGCCCGTCCCCCTCCTCCTTGTAGAACATGTAGAAGTAGGTGCTGAAGGTGACCAGGACGGCCCGGTGGGCCCGAAACTGGGCCTCGCCCACCAGCACCGTGCAGTCGCACAGGAAGCCCTGGTGACGCTGCTCCCTCAGGCTCTGGAGCAAGGTCCGGCCGTGGTCGGGGAACTCCATCACTGCCGGGCGAGCGGGCGAGGGCGAGGGAGCGGGCGAGGGCGGGGGGAGGCTGGCAGCGCTTCTCTCGACCCGTCAGTCATTCTGCGTCGGGAGAGAAATAAAGGCAAGAAAAAAAAATCGATCCATGTTGGTTAACGTCTTGATAATAATGGGTGGGGGGGGGGGGCGGTGGTGGTGGTGCTCGGGGGGGGCTATGTCGGCCATTATCCTACGTGCAACTCAATGTCAGGTCAAACCCCCTTACCTCCCGATCAGAACGGGGCAAGCCTCGAAACTCTTAGGTACGGCCTCCGCTAAGAGTTCGAGGCTTCCACCACTGAAAGCTCTTCGCGAACGCCCCCCCACCCACCCACCCACCCGCCCACCCCCCCGACGGGACGCGTCAGAAGCCGCACGGCCCCCGCTGCTCGTCCGCGGCCACTGCTTCCGCCGCCAGCTGGCCACTGGCCACTGGCCTCGCTGCTGTCACCATCGCAAAGGGCCACGGAGCACCGGTTACTGTAGCAACAGAATGTTACCGGCAGCCAACGTGAATGAAGTGCACGGGGGGGGGGGGGGGTGTGTGGGGTGGGGGGGGGCCTCAAGGTAAACTCACGCTAAATAAAACTCTCTCTCTCTCTCTCTCTCTCTCGCTCTTCCCAATGTCTCCCCTCTCCCGACGCAGCCATTCCCGGCGTTTTTGAAACCATCTGAAAGCCCCCCCACCCCCTCAAAAAAAAAAAGCCCTCCGCTCGCTCCCACTAAGTGACCGACCCATCAACACCCCCCCCAACCCCCATTCCCGCCCACCCCCACCCCCACACAAATTAAACCGCATCGGTTTTCTTTCCGCTGGGACTGGAACTCAAAAGGACCACCTGAACTTACACAGCGTCCCAGAGCCGGTGGGGGTGGGAGCGAGCGGGGGGTGGGGGGGGTAGGGGTAGGGGGGGGTGGGGGGTGAGTGACCGTAGGTACATATTGGTGGGTATTGCCCGCGGCCTCCAATACTTTGCTCAGTGCGTGAGCTCAAGACAGTGCCGCGAGTGTCCTCACCCGGCAAAGCGCAACGCACACACTCTTCAACGGCCCGAAGGGGGTAATAATAATAATAATAATAATAATAATTCTGGCGTCTGACCCGGCGCCTCGTCACGTCTCACAGCACTTCGGGGGGGGCGTGGGGGGGGGGGGAAGGGGGGGGGTCAAGACCCCCCCAATCCGATCCCCCACCCTACCCCACCCCACCCCACCCGACCCGGTCTCACCCCCCCCCCCCCCCCCACTCTCGCCCCAGGACACGCACAGTCACTACACTCGACGGCGCGCGGGCGCTGCGAAGCGCTTCCGAGGCGCCGAGGAGACGTGACGAGGCGCGGTGAGGGGGTGAGGGTGGTGGGGGGTGGGGGGGGTGGGTGGGGGCCCAATGCAGGGATTATTATTCTTATATTGTTATTATTATTGTATTATTACTCCCCTTCTCTCCCCCCCCATCATAACCACAATAACAAGCCTCCAGTTGGACACGCCCCTTCGCCCCCCCCCCCCGTGATTGGCCGGCCCGCCGCCCGCGTCACCCCCGCCCGTGGCCCCGATTGGCCGCGGGCGCCGCCAATCCATCCCGACGTCGCGAGCCCCGCCCCGTCCGCCCGCCCCGCCCACTTCCGGTGGCTGGCGCCGAGCGGCGCCGCCACAAGCGCTGCCGGGAAACAAATGGCGGTGCGGCGAGGGCGGGGCCTGACTCACCCCCCGACTCACGCACTCACTCACTCACTCACCGGCCTCCCGTCCCTCTCTCCCCCCCTCTCTCTCTCCCTCGGTCTCCCCGGTCTCTCTCTCCGCCCCGGAAGCCACCCGCCGCCGTGTCGCGCTCGCTCTGTGGCGCGCGCTCGCTCCCGCCGCCGCCGAGCTCGAGCGGCCACCGGAAGCGGCCCAGTTCTCGCGATACTTCGCCTCCTCTCCTCCTCCTCCCCTCCCTTCCCCCACACGCGGCGCCAAGGAGGCGGCAGGCGGCGCTCAAGAGTCTCCCTCTCCGCTCCCGGCAGTCCCGGTGGGAGCCGACAGCGCCCTCCCGTGGCCGCGCCTCGGAAGCTCAGCCTCTCACCCCAAGTGGTCCAAACCCCCAATTGAGAATTCCCCACATCCCCTCCACACACCCACACACTCACCCACACACACACCCACACACTCACCCACACACACACACACACACACCCCACACACACACCCCCCCCACACACACCCACACACTCACCCACACACACACCCACACACACACCCACACACTCACCCACACACACACCCACACCCACACACCCACCCACACACACACACACACACACCCACACACACACCCACACACTCACCCCCACACACCCACACCCCCCCCCACACACACACCCACACACACACACCCCACACACCCACACACACCCACACACTCACCCACACACACACACACTCACCCCCCACACATACCCTCACACACAGACCCCCACACACACACCCACACACACACCCCCACACACTCACCCCCCACACACACACACACACCCACACCCACACACCCACCCACACACACACCCACACACACACACCCACACACTCACCCACACACACACCCACACACACACCCCCACACACCCACACCCCCCCCACACACACCCACACACACTCACACACACACCCACACACACACCCACACACCCACACACACCCCCCCACACACACCCACACACACACCCACACACCCACACACCCCCCCCACACACACCCCCACACACACACCCACACACACACACCCACACACTCACCACACACACACCCACACACACACCCCCACACACACCCCCCCACACACACCCACACACACTCACACACACACCCCCCACACACACACCCCCCACACACACACCCACACACACACACCCCCCCACACACACACACACCCGCACATGCCCCCCCACCCCCTCCCCGGGAACCCCCAGAGATAGGCTGTGGGGATGGGATGGGATGCGCTCTCTCTCTCTCTCTCTCCCCGGAGGGACGCCCTCTGCTCACCTAATTCCGGAGAGTATTAGGCGCAGGTTGGGCGAGAGCCGAGGCTCGGGGTGGGGGGTGGGGGGTGGGGGGGACCCCGCGGCCCCTCCCGGCTCAGGGTTCGTTGGGTGTCTCCCTCCTTGGGCGGGGCGGGGGGTTGGGGGTGGGGTCTGAACTGGCTCCAAGGTGACATGCCTGGCAGGGGGATGTCGGGATCGAGCCCCACTGCCCCCCCCCCCCCACCCCCCACCCCCTGTGACCGGTTCCTGGTCACCTCAACCCGCGGCTGTTTGTGGGGACGTCGCGGCGCGGAATTGGCTGCCGCGTTTCGCCCGCAAAACTCACAGTCACTACGCTCGACAGTGTGTCCCGCGTCGAGCTTTGAGAAGTCTCTTAAGACGTGATGAGGCGCCGGGTCAAATGTGAGGATTATTATTCTATTATTATATTATTGTTATATTGTTAACATTATTGTTATTGTAATAATATTATATTATTGTTATATTACTATTATTATTGTTATTATTGTTATATATTGTTGTTATATTACTATTATTATTATATTATATTGTTGTTATATTACTATTATTATATTATATTGTTATATTATTATTGTTATTATTATATTGTTATATTACTATTATTATTATATTATATTGTGGTTATATTACTATTATTATTATATTGTTGTTATATTATTATTGTTATTATTATATTGTTATATTACTATTATTATTGTTATTATATTATTATATTACTATTGTTATTATTACTGTTGTTATTATTGTATTATATTGTTATTATTGTTATCATATTATTATTATTGTTGTTGTTATATTATTATTATATTACTATTATATTGTATTATTATATTGTTATTATTGTTATCATATTATTATTATTGTTGTTATTATATTATTATATTACTATTATATTGTATTATTATATTGTTATTATTGTTATCATATTATTATTATTGTTGTTATTATATTATTATTATATTACTATTATATTGTATTATTATATTGTTATTATTGTTATCATATTATTATTGTTGTTATTATATTATTATATTACTATTATATTGTATTATTATATTGTTATTATTGTTGTCATATTATTATTATTATTGTTGTTATTATATTATTATATTACTATTATATTGTATTATTATATTGTTATTATATTACTATTATATTGTATTATTATATTGTTATTATTGTTATCATATTATTATTATTGTTGTTATTATATTATTATATTACTATTATATTGTATTATTATATTGTTATTATTGTTATCATATTATTATTGTTGTTATTATATTATTATTATATTACTATTATATTGTATTATTATATTGTTATTATATTACTATTATATTGTATTATTATATTGTTATTATTGTTATCATATTATTATTGTTGTTGTTATATTATTATTATATTACTATTATATTGTATTCTTATATGGTTATTAGTGTTATCTATTATTATTATTGTGTTGTTATTATATTATTATATTACTATTATATTGTATTATTATATTGTTATTATTGTTATCATATTATTATTGTTGTTGTTATTATATTATTATATTACTATTATATTGTATTGTTATTATTGTTATCATATTATTATTGTTGTTGTTATATTATTATATTACTATTATATTGTATTATTATATTGTTATTATTGTTATCATATTATTATTGTTGTTGTTATTATATTATTATATTGTATTATTATATTGTTATTATTGTTATCATATTATTATTATTGTTGTTGTTATTATATTATTATATTACTATTATATTGTATTGTTATTATTGTTATCATATTATTATTGTTGTTATATTATTATTATATTACTATTATATTGTATTATTATATTGTTACTATTGTTATCATATTATTATTATTGTTGTTGTTATTATATTATATTACTATTATATTGTATTATATTGTTATTATTGTTATCATATTATAATTGTTGTTGTCATTATATTATTATATTACTATTATATTGTTATTTGTGTCACTGCCCAGAGGAGTGTTGAGTGTGTGGAGGTGGTGCGGAGGGTGTGTGGGGGGAGAGGTGTCTCGGCCACGAGATGGCAATGCAGTTACCACTCGAAAGCGAAAGGAAATAAATACCCAAACTGTCAACGGCTCCAATTTGAATTTGGCCGAATAGGGGTTCGTGAATGTTTCTCGCGGCTGAAGAGGGAATTATTGAAAGGCGTTCGGTCTCGAAATAGCATTGGGGGAGTCATCGCCGACCGACTGACCGCCCGACCGACTGACCGCCCGACCGACTGACCGACTGACCGACCGCTCCACCTCTCGTCTCTTCGCGGAGATTGTTTGCAACTCCTTATCCTTTGGGGCTTAAAAAGCTAATTTTTTTTTGTGTGGGGGGTGTTCCTTCTTCAAATACTTTTTTGGTTTTGTTTGGTTTTTTTTTGGCGGGAGGTGCGGAGTGGGGGGGCAGTGGGGGGGGCAGTGGGGGGGGGAATGAGACTCAAGACCCCGGAACCGTCCCGGCGATCGAACCGCCTGAAAGACCAGGTGAGCGGCGGCGGACGGTCGCGGAACGATTCGCTTTATTTTGTTCTGCCGACGGCCTTTTGTTTTATTTTTTCGCGCGAGTTGTTCGGCTCTGCGAAGCCGCGCGCAACGCGCTCGCACACGCGCTCGCACACGCGCGCGCTCGCACTCACACGCACTCACACGCACGCTCACACGCACTCTCGCTCGCGCGCATTCGCTCGCACTCGCGCTCACTCGCACGTACACACTCACGCACTCACACACGCGCACCCACTCGCGCTTACACACACTCACTCGCGCTTACACACTCACAGGCACTCGCACGCACGCGCGCACTCACTCACTCACACTGCTACACACACGCACTCACACACGCAGACACACGAACTCACACACACACACAGACACGCACTCACACACGCAGACACACGCACTCACACACACAGACACACACACACGCACTCACACACACGCTCACACGCACTCTCGCTCGCGCGCATTCGCTCGCACTCGCGCTCACTCGCACGTACACACTCACGCACTCACACACGCGCACCCACTCGCGCTTACACACACTCACTCGCGCTTACACACTCACAGGCACTCGCACGCACGCGCGCACTCACTCACTCACACTGCTACACACACGCACTCACACACGCAGACACACGAACTCACACACACACACAGACACGCACTCACACACGCAGACACACGCACTCACACACACAGACACACACACACGCACGCACTTACACCCACACTGACACACTCGCACACACTCACTCACTCACACTGCTACACTCACACACACGGACACACAGACACACGCACTCACACACACACACACACACAGGCACACGCGCACTCACACCCACACTGACACACTCGCACACACTCACGGCAAACGGGGGCCGGAACCATAAACCACTGGGAACGCTTCTCCCCGAAAGAAAGTGAGTGCTCCAAACAGTGGATTCACTCTCACACTTTTTATTGCGCGTCAGTTTCTTTTTTTTGGCGCCCAAATGCAAACCGTGGTTAAAGCCGTGGTTTTTGAGGAGGGGGAGGGGGGTGTGGGGGGGAGAGAGTGGGGGGGAGAGGGCGGGTGGGGTTGGGGTGGGGGGGAAGGGATTCACCCGTTGCATAACAAAATATAAATACGAAATGTTTTATACGATTTAATTTGGTTCCGCACGAAATATCAATACAATCTAATTGGGTCACTCGCTCCCCCGAGGGGGCGGGTTCCGCCCGCAAGAACGCACAGTCACTACACTTTGCAGCGTAGCCCGTGAAGCGCTTTTGAGACGTCTCGATCAGGCGCCGGAGGGTTGTTGTTATTATGGTTATTATTATTATTAATACAAGATCACTCGGTGGCTTCAACCCCCCGGCGGCTGTCCGTGGGGACGTCGCTGAGCGCGATCGGCCGCCGAGTTTGGCCCCCGAAACACACAGTCACTACACTCGGCGGCGTGTCCCCCGAAGCGCTTGGAGACGCCTCGAAGACGCGATCGGACGCCGGGTCGGACCCCGGGATTGTTATTGCCATTGTTGTTTGTTGTTGTTTGTTCTGCAGGCGGTGGTGGCCTCTTCCCTCAAAGCCGAACCCCCCACGGAGGGTGGGACCCCGGGCCCCAGAACCCGTGGCCTCCTGCCCCCGACCCCCCGGGATCCCATCCGGAGGGGCACCCGGGGCCGGCGTTCCGGGATCGGGATCCAGGAGCCGACGGTGAGAGCCGAACCCAATGACCCGACAGCAACGGCAACGCCTCAAAGCGCTTCGCAGCGCCCGCAAATCACACACACACACACACACACACACAGTCACTACACTTCACAGCGCTTTGAGGCAATCAGAAAGGCCGCGGATATCGCCCCCTGGTGGATGGCGATGGCGGCTCCGCCCGGCTTCACTGGGGAACGTCAATGAAATCCGGGGGGTGGGAGAGGATAGAGGGAGGGTGTGACAGAGTTTTGGGGGGCGCAGTGGCTAAAAGCGGGGGGTGGGTGGGTGGGGGTGGGGTGGGGGGGGCTATTGATCCTTGAAGGAGGAGCTGAACCCTCCTCCCGTGTTTCCCAGATCGACCTGAAACAGCTGAAGATCTCGGTGCAGAAAATCAAGGAAGAGCCGGAGATCCTATCGGTGGAGAAAGCGGGAGAGGGAGAGACCCCGAGCGAAGCCGTCGCCGCCGGGGTGCAGGTAACCCACCCCCCACCCTCCCCTCGCCCGCCCGGGGGGTCTGAGCCCGGTGGAGGTTCCCCCCCTTAAATCCACAGAGTCGCCGTGTTATTTTGACACCGACAACAACAACACCGGACACTCCCCCAGCGCCCGCCTTTCCCGGCAGGAGGGAGGACGTCCCAAGTTTGCTGGACAGTCAGGGGTTCGGACCCCGAGCTGGACGGGGGGTCGGGAGGGAGGGTGGGTGGGTGGGTGGGGTGGGGGGGGGGTAGTTTGGTGACCCAAGACGCGGTCAATTGAAGAGGAGGGTCTCGAAGGGAGGGAGGGAGGGAGGGAGGGACACACACGGAAACCCGTCACCGTGGCTTCAGAGTCTCCAAACCCGACCGAGAATTCCCCCACGTCCCCCCCCCCCCCAGAGGTACAACAGTCACTACACTTTACAGTGAATCCCGGGACAGGGTTTGAGCTGTTCGTGTGACGTGAGAGGTGCTGTGTGTATCGCGAGGATTATTATTATTATTATTATTATTATTATATTAATAATAATTTCCTGGGGTGAGGTTCTCCGGGGGAACAACAACAACAACAACAACAATATATTGACGCGATCACTTCCTGTCGTGTGTCTCAGAAACCGTTTCCGCTCTTGCGGACCCGTGGCCGTGTGTGGGAGCCGAGTGGTCACCAGGGGGTCCTGGAGCCAGAGCCCCCCCACCCCCGCCCCCACCCCCACCAGCAGGTCAGTGACAACAACAACAGTAACATTTACACAGCGTATCAGCGAGTGTGAGTGAGTGAGTGAGTATGTTAGTGAGTGAGTGCGTGTGTGTGAGTGTGTACGTGTGTGTGTTAGTGAGTGAGTGAGTGAGTGAGTGTGTGTGTGTTAGTGAGTGTGTGTGTGTGTTAGTGAGTGAGTGAGTGTGTGAGTGAGTGTGTGAGTGTGTGTTAGTGAGTGAGTGTGTGTTAGTGTGTGTGTGAGTGAGAGTGAGTGTGTGAGTGAGTGTGTGTTAGTGAGTGAGTGTGTTAGTGAGTGAGTGTGTGAGTGTGTTAATGAGTGTGTTAGTGAGTGAGTGTGTGTTAGTGACAGTGTTGTCTCTCCAGCCGGGCTCGGTGTGCGGTGGGCACGGAGTGTGGGCGCTGGCGTTGGCGCTGATGGTGGTGGTTGGAGTCTGGTACACACTGGACGAGAGGACCCGGGGGCAGCTGTGGGCGCCTTGGAACCCCGAGCCGTGCGGGAGGGACTGCAGGTAGGAGCGAGGGGGGGGTGTGGGGGGGAGACCAAGGTCCATCTCCTTGGCCTTCTGCCATCCGAGCAGCCCTGTAGCTCAGGGGTTAGACCCCCCCCCTCGCCCCCCACCCCACAGCCCCTGTACCCCGGGGGTTAGACCCCCCCCCTCGCCCCCCACCCCACAGCCCCTGTAGCTCAGGGGTTAGACCCCTCGCCTCACACCCCACAGCCCCTGTAGCTCAGGGGTTAGACCCCTCCCCTCGCACCCCACAGCCCCTGTAGCTCAGGGGTTAGACCCCTCCCCTCGCACCCCACAGCCCTGGTGGGTCAGGGGTTAGAGCCCTCGCCTCACACCCCACAGCCCCTGTAGCTCAGGGGTTAGACCCCTCCCCTCGCACCCCACAGCCCCTGTAGCTCAGGGGTTAGACCCCTCGCCCCCCACCCCACAGCCCCTGTAGCTCAGGGGTTAGACCCCTCGCCCCCCACCCCACAGCCCCTGTAGCTCAGGGGGTTAGACCCCCCTCCCCACCCCGGGTGGGTCAGATGGGGGTGAACCCGTGGGCAAGTTTCCTTAATTATAATAATCAATAATAATTTAGTCACTTTGTGGGGACGTCGTTGGGCGCAATCTTGAGCCGCTGCCCTGGTGGAGGACGCTGTATAAGTGCAAGTTGTTGTTGTTGTTGTCCAGGATGGTGTTGGTGGAGAGTGTCCCGGTGGGGGTGAGGTACCCTCCGGGGTCTCCCTCTCTGCCCCCCATCTCCCAGGCCTGGCTGGAGCTGCTGACCAGAGCCAACAGCAGTCTGGACATCGCTGCCTTTTACGTCACTCTGAGGGACAGTAACCAGTCCCACCCCTCAGCCGCTCAGGTACCCCCCACCCGGCCTGTCTGTGTCTGCCTGTGTGTGCGTCTGTCTGTCTGTCTGTTTGTCTGTGTGTGTCTGTGTGTGTGTTTCTGGGTGTTTGTCTGTCTGACTGTGTGTGTCTGTGTTTCTGTGTGTGTGTGTGTGTGTGTGTGTCTGTTTGTCTCTCGGGTTTGACTATTCCTGAGTGTGTTCGCGAGTGTCTTCCCGGCTGTTATTCGTGTTCTTGAGGATTCAGTGTGCCATTGAGTGTTCACTGTGTTCTGGTGTAGTTGGTGTAGGTGTAGGTGTTGGTGTTGGTGCTGGTGTTGGTGTTGGTGCTGGTGCTGGTGTTGATGTTGGTGTTGGTGTTGGTGTTGGTGTAGGTGTTGGTGTAGGTGTTGGTGTAGGTGTAGGTGTAGGTGTTGGTGTTGGTGTTGGTGTTGGTGTTGGTGTAGGTGTAGGTGTTGGTGTAGGTGTTGGTGTAGGTGTAGGTGTAGGTGCAGGTGTAGGTGTTGGTGTTGGTGTAGGTGTTGGTGTAGGTGTTGGTGTAGGTGTTGGTGTAGGTGTTGGTGTAGGTGTAGGTGTTGGTGTTGGTGTAGGTGTTGGTGTTGGTGTAGGTGTAGGTGTAGGTGTTGGTGTAGGTGTAGGTGTAGGTGTTGGTGTTGGTGTAGGTGTAGGTGTTGGTGTAGGTGTAGGTGTTGGTGTTGGTGTTGGTGTTGGTGTAGGTGTTGGTGTAGGTGTTGGTGTAGGTGTAGGTGTAGGTGTAGGTGTTGGTGTAGGTGTAGGTGTAGGTGTAGGTGTTGGTGTTGGTGTAGGTGTTGGTGTAGGTGTTGGTGTTGGTGTTGGTGTAGGTGTAGGTGTTGGTGTAGGTGTAGGTGTTGGTGTTGGTGTTGGTGTAGGTGTTGGTGTAGGTGTTGGTGTTGGTGTAGGTGTTGGTGTAGGTGTTGGTGTAGGTGTTGGTGTAGGTGTTGGTGTAGGTGTAGCTCAGTCACACGGCTGTGGTTTGTACACAGGGACGGCGGGTGTTTGAGAGCCTCTCTGAGCTCCCGGGGCGGGGAGTGAGGCTGCGAATCGCTGTGAACGGGCCCCAGAAACACACAGCGGACACGGGAGACCTGGGGAAGAGCGGTGAGATCCCAACACGCTAAAAACACGCCTGGAAACGCACACCCGTAACACACGCCCGGAAACATACGCCTCGAGCACACGTACACACATGCGAACCCGCCTGCAAAACACTTGCCCTGGAAACGCACACGTGTAAGGGTGCGCCCTGTAAAAACGTGCGCGTACACACACCTGTAACACGGGTAACACGCCTGCGAACACGCCTCTCTGTGTGTGGCGACAGGTGCCGAGGTGCGGGAGGTGGATTTAGGGGCTCTGACGGGAGGAGTGATTCACACCAAACTCTGGGCCGTCGACAGGAGTCACGTGTACATCGGCAGTGCCAACATGGACTGGCGCTCACTCACCCAGGTACCCCCCCTCACTCCCTCCTCACTCCCCCCTCCCTCCCTCCCTCACTCACCCAGGTACCCCCCCCTCCCTCACTCCCCCCCTCCCTCCCTCCCTCACTCACTCACCCAGGTACCCCCCCTCCCTCACTCCCTCCCTCCCTCCCTCCCTCCCTCACTCACCCAGGTACCCCCCCTCCCTCACTCCCCCCTCCCTCCCTCCCTCACTCACCCAGGTACCCCCCTCCCTCACTCCCTCCCTCCCTCCCTCCCTCACTCCCTCCCTCACTCACTCACTCACTCACTCACTCACTCCCTCCCTCACTCACCCCCCCCCTCCCTCCCTCCCTCACTCCCTCCCTCACTCACTCACTCACTCACTCACTCACTCACTCCCTCACTCACCCAGGTACCCCCCCCCCTCCCTCACTCCCTCCCTCCCTCCCTCCCTCACTCCCTCCCTCACTCACTCACTCACTCACTCACTCACTCACTCACTCACTCACTCCCTCCCTCACTCACCCAGGTACCCCCCCTCCCTCCCTCCCTCACTCCCTCCCTCACTCACTCACTCACTCACTCACTCACTCACTCCCTCACTCACCCAGGTACCCCCCCCTCCCTCACTCCCTCCCTCCCTCCCCCCTCCTCACTCACTCCCTCCCTCCCTCCCTCCCTCACTCACTCCCTCCCTCACTCCCTCCCTCCTCACTCCCTCCCTCCCTCCCTCCCTCACTCACTCACTCACTCCCTCACTCACTCACTCACTCCCTCACTCACCAGTACCCAACCAGCCCCCCCTCCCTCCCTCCCTCCCTCCCTCACTCACCCAAATAACCAACCATCCCCTCACTCACTCACTCCCTCACTCCCACAGCCCCTCCACCTCACCCCTCCTGTCCCTCATCCCCTCCCTCCACCTCCCCTCAACCCCTCAGCCCCTCCCTCCCTCCCTCACCCCCTCCCTCCCTCCCTCCCTCACCCCCTCCCTCCAGTGACTGAGTGTGATTCCACAGTGGCTGAGTGTGAGCAGTGAGTGTGAGCCGAGTGAGTGTGGGTGTAGTGACTGTTGTCCGTGTTTCCTGGCAGGTGAAGGAGCTAGGAGTGGTGGTGACGGAGTGCGGCTGCCTGGCTCGGGATGTCGAGCGGGTGTTTGACGTGTACTGGGGTCTGGGTGCCCCAAATGCCCCCTTGCCCCCCTCCATGCCTGGCACTGCCCCCCCCTCCAGGCTCCGGCCCCCGCTCCAACTGCATCTCAACGGCCTCCCTGCCCAGGTCTCCCTGTCGGTGAGTAACAACCCGGGTATTTACAACAGTAATAATCCTTACAACGAGACGTCTCGAAGCGCTGCGCAGGGCACGCCGTCAAGTGTAGTGACTGTGGGTTCTGTGGGCGCAACGCGGCAGCCGATCGCGCCCGGCGACGTCCCCACAAACAGCCGTGGGTTGAAGTGACCGAATTATTATTGTTTTAAGGGATTATTACCCCCGAAAAAGCGTCTCTCCTTTGGCTCAGTCTCTCACCCTCTGAATCAGAAGATTGTGGGTTCAAGCCCCAATTGGGCTGATGCACAGAGTGGGGGCGGGGGGGGGGAGGGGGGAGAGGGGGCGAGGAGGTGATGGTGTGAGTGTGAGCTTGCTCGCACGCTCGTGTGTGTGTGTGTGTGTGCCATGCTGACATGTCCCTCTCTTGCCCCCCCCTCTCCCCCCCTCAGACCTCCCCCCCCACTCTTGGACCCCCTGACCTCAGACAGGACCTCGACGCCATTCTCCATATCATCAGCGATGCCAAGGAACACGTTTACATCTCAGTGATGGACTTCCTCCCTCTGTGTCAGTACAGCCAACCTCAGAGGTCAGTCACACTCTCTCACACTCACACACTCACACACACAGCCTCCGACACACTCACACACATTCTCACACTCACTCACAGCCTCCGACACACTCACACACACTCTCACACTCTCTCACACTCACAGTCTCCGACACACTCACACACACTCTCACACTCACACACACAGCCTCCGACACACTCACACACACTCTCTCACACTCACTCACAGCCTCCGACACACTCACACACACTCTCTCACACTCACTCACAGCCTCCGACACACTCACACACACTCTCACACTCTCTCACACTCACAGTCTCCGACACACTCACACACACTCTCACACTCACTCACAGCCTCCGACACACTCACACACACTCTCACACTCACACACTCTCTCACACTCACTCACAGCCTCCGACACACTCACACACACTCTCACACTCTCTCACACTCACAGTCTCCGACACACTCACACACTCTCTCTCACACTCACTCACAGCCTCCGACACACTCACACACACTCTCACACTCACACACTCTCTCACACTCACTCACAGCCTCCGACACACTCACACACACTCTCACACTCTCTCACACTCACAGTCTCCGACACACTCACACACTCTCTCACACTCACACACTCACACAGCCTCCGACACACTCACACACACTCTCTCACACTCACTCACAGCCTCCGACACACTCACACACACTCTCACACTCACACACACACTCACACACACAGCCTCCGACACACTCACACACACTCTCACACTCTCTCACACTCACACTCACTCACTCTCACACTCACACACATTCTCACACTCACACACAGCCTCCGACACACTCATGCACTCTCTCACACACACTCTCACACACTCTCACACACATACACACAGCCCCCGACACTCTCACACTCTCTGTCACTCTCACACAGACTCTCACACTCTCTCACACACTCACACACACGACACACAGCCCCCGACACACTCACACACTCTCTCACACTCTCACAAAGCCCTAACCCGGCTGATCAACATAAGCAGCACTTACGGGTTACGGAGGGAGTTGGGGGGGATGGGATCGACGCGATGGCGGGAGGAGAAGGGAGGGAGGGCAGGATGAAATGGAGGGCGCGGGGGGCCAGATGCGGCCCGCGGGCCGCCGGTTGCCTGGTGTAGATGGTGTGTGTGTGTGGTGTGTGTGTGTGTGTGGGTAGGTGTGAGTTTCTGGCTGAGCTGTGACGTGTCTCTCTCTCTCTCTCTCTCTCTCGCTCTCTCTGGCCCAGGTTCTGGCCCCCGCTGGACGATGCCCTACGAAGGGCGGGGTGTGAGCGGGGGGTGGAGGTCAGGCTGCTGGTTGGCTGTTGGCAGCATTCACACCCCTCCATGTACATCTTCCTGCAGTCACTGACCGCACTCAGCCACCAGCCATTACAGTGCCCCATCACCGTGGTAAGTCACTCCCTCCCTCCCTCTCTCACTCCACCTCCCTCCCTCCCTCCCTCACTCCCACTCCCTCCCGCCCTCCCTCCCCCTCCCTCCCGCCCCTCCCTCCCGCTCCCTCCCTCTCTCACTCCCACTGCCTCCCTCCCTCCCTCACTCCCCCTCCCGCCGCCCTCCCTCCCTCTCTCACTCCCACTGCCTCCCTCCCTCACTCCCTCCCTCCCTCTCTCTCTCACTCCACCTCCCTCCACCTCCCTCCCTCCCTAACTCCCACTCCCTCCCTCACTCCCCCTCCCGCCGCCCTCCCTCTACACACACACAGTAAAGCTCCCTCCACGCTTTGTGTCCACACTCATAGAATCTCTATCTCTATCTCACTCTCTCTCACTGTCTCTCTCTCTCTCGCAGAAAGTTTTCCAGGTACCGGCTGGGGAGGAGGAGATCCCGTTTAGCCGAGTTAACCACAACAAGTTCATGGTGACGGACCGGGTGGCCTACATTGGTGAGTTGTGTGTGTGTGTGTGTGTGTGTGGGGGGGAGGGAGGGGGGGAGTGGCCGGGGGGGGGGGGAACGGGGGGAAGGGGAGCGTTAATCAAGATATCAAATTATTAATTTATTATTATTATTATTATTATGTGGAGTCTGTAGCGAAGTGGTGCAATTCCCGAGCAGAGTGATACCTTAGGCAAGTTTCCTTACTCCACAGACACACACACACAGACAGACACACACACACACAGACACAGACACACACACACAGACACACACACACAGACACAGACACACACACACACACACACACACACAGACACCAGCAGTCAGTAGGAATCCGCTTGTTAGTCGATTGGCCGATCGCTTTCCGGGGATAATAATCCCTTCAAATAAACAATAATAGTAATAATAATGCGGTCACTCAATCCATGACTGTTTGCTCACAGAACACACAGTCACGACACTCTGCAGCGTATCCCGTGAAGCGCTTTGTGACGTCTCGAAGGGGTCAAATACAGAGATTATTATCATTATTATTATTATTATTATTCCAGCGCTTTGGGACATCCTCCTGACATTTTGGGTTATTATTATCATTGATGTTAAACACTTCCTCCGTTTGAAGGCACCTCCAACTGGTCTGGCGATTACTTCACGAGGACGGCCGGGGTGGGGTTGACGGTGAATCAGTCGGACGGCGTTCCCGGTGATCCCGGCTCGGTGCGGCGCCAGCTGGAGGCCGTGTTCCTTCGGGATTGGAATTCCGAGTACGCCCGGAAGCTGAGCGACTCCGACCTCACGCTCTGTGGCCCTCAGGCGGGAGGAGAGTGAGCACCGAGCAACAACCCTGCGACCGGCCAAAGGAAAGGGTCACAGGTGGGGAGGGCGGAGGGGGGAGGGGGGAGAGGAGGGAGGGGAGGTAGAAATTGTCCTCTTCCCCCCCTCATCCCCACCCTCACCGCACCCCACAAACCTGAAGCTGTCTCCCTCACCCCCTCCCCTCCACCGCCACCCCGTCTCCTACTCAATTTATCTTAATAATAATCCGGTCGCTTCAACCCACGGCTGTCTGTTGGGGTGGGGGGGGGGACGGGACGGGACGGACGGACGTCGCCGGACGCAATCGGCCGCCGTGTTTCGCCCACAAACCGCCGACACAGTCACTAGACTCGACGACGTGTCCCGTGAAGCGCTTCGAGACGTCTCGAAGACGTGACGAGGCTCCGGGTCGAGCGCCAGGATTATTATTATGGTTATTGACGAAGGGGAACTCTCCTCCGAAGGGGAGTGCGTGCGATTGGCATCTGACACTTCTACCCGAGGGAGACACGACCTGAGGTTTTATTCTTGAATCAGAAATCTATTTTTTTGGGTCACATTTTCTATTTTTGATATACTTTTGCGTCGTTTGCCGAGTTGTCGCCCTTTTTTCTTTATAAGATATAAATCCAGCGAGTCGCGTGTTTTTTTTTAAAAAAAGGTCGATCGTCCGGGGCTGAGGGCGGGGAACTTTGGTCGCACGTTTGTGTGCCGTTGGGCGCAGTTGGCTGCTGAGTTTCGCCCACACAAGGCGCAGTCACTACGCTTTGCAGCGTATCCAGTGACGCCCTTCGAGACGTCTCGAAGACGCGGTAAGGCGCTGCGTCAAACACAAGTGCAATGATTATAAGATGTACGGGTTACGGAGGGAGTGAAATGGAGGGGGTGGGGGGGGGGGTGGGCCGGATGTGGCCCGCGGGCCGCCAGTTGGACCACCCTGATCTCACGCTCGCTCTTCCCTGCTTGCGTTGAACGTCCCGTGACCATTTTATCCCCCCGGCCCGGAGACCGTCCGCACCGCGCAGGCTTTTAGGTAAATTCTTTACGCGCTCCGGCCCCGAAACAAAGAGGAGGAACCGCCGAGAGGTGCTTTGCTGTAACTCGCGTACAGACGCTGGTCTGGCCGAGCGGCCCCAGCCCTGCGCCGCGGGGGCCGGGCTCTTGTGCGCTGATTTGCTTTGCAACGCATTACGAGGCTCGCGCTTTCCTTGTGAAGAACTCGCTGTTGGAATAAACCGGGGTCCGAGCCCTGTGACACTGAGTCTGTCTGGGTTTGCGATTTATACGGTGTGCGGGGCGAATGATTATTATTAAAGGTATAGGCTCAGCCCCCACCCCCCCCACACACACACATCCCCCCCTCCCCCCCACACACACACATCCCCCCTCTCCACCCCACCCACACACACACATCCCCCCCTCTCCACCCCACACACACACACATCCCCCCTCTCCACCCCACACACACACATCCCCCTCTCCACCCCACACACACACCACACACACATCCCCTCTCCACCCCACACACACACATCCCCCTCTCCACCCCACTCCCCCACACACACACACATCCCCCTCTCCACCCCACCCCCCCCACACCCCCCCCCCCCCCCACACACACACACAAACACACGGGGCAAGTCAGTTTGTGAACATTTTTATTACAAAAAAAAACAATTGAAAGACTTGACCTTCCTGGGGAGGGGAGGGGGGAATGAGTCGGGGTGGGGGGGGGGGGGTACATAAATTCTCCCTTCTCCGCAGTCTCCTCCTCGCCCCACCCGGACCTGCGGACTGCTTGGCGGGGGTGGGGGGGGGGGGTGGGGGGGTCTTCAGCTAACCAGACCTGAGGAACAAACACAACAGTGTCAAGAGGCCAGAAGGCAACAACTTGCATTTACACAGCACCTCCTCGCGCGGAGCCTGACACCTGGCGGAGCAGGATTCCGAGCCGGGGGGGGGGGGCGCGGGGGGGGGGAAGGGGAGGTGACCCAGGCCCGGTCGGAGAGGGAGGTCTTCGACCTGAAGGTGGAGAAGGGGGCGAGACGGAGGAATTGGGGTTGAGAGTGACGAGAGTTCAGGGGCGTTAGTGGCTGAAGGCACGGCCACCGATGGTGGAGCGGGAGGGAGGGGGCGAGGGACAAACAGGAGGCCGGAGCCAGCCCAGCAGAGGCGGTGGGTGGTGGAGTGGGGGGGGGTGAGCAGGTGGGAGAGGGAGGGAGGGAGGGAGGAGGAATCACGGCCGAGCCCCATCCTGTTCACACAATGTCCACAAAGAACCAGACATTTACAGCATCGCCGGGGGTGGGGGGGGGGGCGGTGTTGGGGGGGGGGGGGTGGGGGCGAGGGGTAGAGTAACTCACCCAAATAATCGTCCATCAAAGAGCCAATGGCGAACTGGAAGAGAAAAGAAAGTTACCACAACAATCCCCGCATTGCCCCCCAGCGTCGCGTCTTACCCCGTCTTCGAGACGTCTCGGAGTGATTCACAGCACGCACTGCCCTGTCAAGTGTAGTGACTGTGTGTTTCGTGGGCCAGGCACGGCAGCCAATTGGGCACAGCGACGTCCGCCACAAACAGGCGTGGACTGAGAGAGAGCGATTATTTTTAAAGGAATTATATTACCCCCGGAAAAGCGATTCCCCAATTGACTCACAAGCAAGTTCCTGTTTACTGCAGAGGCGTACATGTGTGTGTGTGTGTGTGTGTGTGTGTCTGTGTGTGGGTGTCCGTGTTGGGGAAATAAGGAAACCGGCCCAACGTTTCGCCCTGACCTGACCTGCCCGGGAATCGAACCCGGGTCCTCTCGCCCGTGAGCTGAGTGCTCCAACCCCTGAGCCACGGGACTCGATGGTTGAATCAGTAAGTGTAGATACTGTCTGTGGGAGGGTGGGGGGGTGGGGGGGGGGGGGAAGGGGGGGATAGAGGGTGTGGGAGGGAATAGAGGTACAGCGGTGGGACTGGTGCGGAGTCTAAACACTGGATGGGCCGAGTGGTCTTTCTCGCTGCTGCACAGTCTGTGTGATTCTCTGGGTTTAGTGAGTGGCCTCTCACTGCTTCTGCGCGACTCACAATGTCATTTTTATCCACTCGGGTTCCCACGATCTTCAGCCGAATCTCATCGTCCTGTTGGATTACAACGTCCTGGAGAGAGAGAGGGGGGGTGGGGGGTGGGGGGTGAGAGAGCGAGAGACCCGCACACCCACACAAACACCCACCCACAAGCAGACACCCACACACGCACACAAACACCCCCCCACGCACAAACATCAATAGACACACACACAGACCCCCCCCCCCCACCCTCCCTGCGCCCCCACCTACCTCGTCATTGGTTTTGTAACACGGTGGGTTGGAATTGGGGTCAAACTCCATTTCTGAAGGGATGGACTATTGGGAAAAGAGCTCAGAATTAGGCACTCGGAACACAACCCACACCCCCCCCACCCCCAACGGTCACCATAACCGGCCCCAGGCTACAAACAGGACACCCCTCTCCCCCCCCCCCCCCCCCCCCCCCCCCACAACACGCACAGCAACTCACGTGTCTGGAGATGAAGCAGGACATGGGTCCGATCTCGGTGAAGAGGCCGACCTACAGCGGGAAATACACCGTCATCGCACACTGCCCGGTGACCCCGCACAGCCACACGCACTCACACAGGGACCCTCACGCCCGTCAACACAAGGAGACCCTCACACTCACACACCCGCCAATATACCGTGACCCTCAGTCACACACACACACACACACACACACACCCAACCCCCTGTTCAGCTCGGGTCCAAATCCAGGACCTTGGGACGCCCTCCCGACGCGAAAGGCAGTCGCTGTGTGACTGCCCGGTGTTGTTGTCGGTACCTTGTTGACCTGAGTCACCACAGCGTCCACCACCTCCCCTTTGAAGGGCCGGAAGACGATGGCCTTGTACTTGACGGGGTAGAGCACAAAGCCGCGGCCAGGCTGGATCACCCCGGCGCCAATATTGTCGATGGTGGTGACGGCAATCACAAAGCCATACCTGCAGACGCCGGGGAGGGGAGGGGAGGGGAGGGGAAGGGGAGCGAGACCACGTGAGCAAAAGATTTACATTACACTGCTCCACTTTTGTTTCCCCCCCACAGTGGAGGGAGGGGAGAGGTGACCGGAGGTTTGGTCGAAGACGAAGGTCTTCACACGCGACCTGAAGATGGGGGAAGGAGGGCGGGGGGGGGGGGGGGGCAAGGTGGAGGGACGGACAGAGGGAGAGTTTCAGGGTACAGTGCCCGAAGGCAGGGCCCCCAATAGGAGTCCTGTAGCTCAGTGGTTAGAGCACTCGCTTTGCGAGTGAGAGACCTGAGTTCAATTCCAGGCAGAGGGCGAAACCTCGGGCAAGTTTCCTTACTCCACACAGAGCCTAATAATAATCCCTCCAAAACAAAAACAATAATAAATTGGTCATTTTCAATCTACGACTGTTTGTGGGACATTGCTGTGCGCCATTGGCCGCCGCGTTCGCCCACAAATATACAGTCAATTCACTTTACGGTGCGTTCCGTGAAGCGCTTTGGGAACGTCCTCTCCCGACGTGAACAGCGCTATATCAAATGCGAGGATTATTATTATTATTATTATTATTATTATAATAGTGGAACGGAGGGCGCGAGGGACAAGCAGGAGGCCGGGGGGGCCGGGGGGGCCGGGCGAGCGGAGGCGGCGGGTCGTGGGTCGGCGAGTGAGCGGGTCGGAGGTGCCGGGGAGTGGTGACGGGAGTACCCACTTTCCGGTGCAGGTGCCCTCCACCTCGGTGAACAGCTTCTGCTTGACGGTGTTGAGTAGGTTCGGCCCAAAGTATCGCGGGTGCAACAGGATCTCGTGCTCCAGAGAGATCTGCGGGAAACCGTACGGACAATCTGCGATACAAGCAACGATGCCGGACGGGAGCAGAGAGGGCGGAAAGGAGAGCTGTTCCCGTCGGGAATACCGGGCTCTCCTCTTGCTCAACTGGCGGCCCGCGGGCCGCATCCGGCCCCCTTCCCTGCGTCGTCAGCCGCGACTGCTACGCCGCGTTACGTTTCCCGGGACAGCAAACGCAGAAGCGCCGCTCGCGGCCGTCCGCGGACCGCGTGACCCACAAGGCACACGCACAGTCACTACACGCGACGCCCCCCCCCCCCCGGCTCCCGAGACGTCCCGAAGACGCGACCGGGCGCCGGGTCGAACGCCGGGGATTACTATTATTATTATTGTCGTCGTCGGAGACGTCTCAAAGCGCTTCACGGGATACGCCGCTGCAAAAGTGTAGTGACTGTGCGTCTTGTGGGCGGAACACGGTGGCACAATCCGCGCACCCATTGGCGGGAGACGCTGTCAATCCCTGGCGTGCTGCGCTCTGATTGGAGGAGGCCGATACCTGTCAACAAGCCCCACCCCCTTCTCCTCCTCCTCTCCCATTGGCGGAGGCGGGTGCCGGTCATGACGCCCCGCCCCGGCGCGTCCATCCGTTTCCAGCCCCGCCCCACCCCCGTCCCGCCCACCCACCCACCCGCCCGCTCGCCATTGGCTGACGTCGCCGTCAATTCCGCTCCGATTGGTGGAGGCGGGTGCCGGTCACGAATCCCCGCCCAGCCCGGCGCGAGAACTGCCCTCCATCCGGTTCCAACGGCCACTCGCTCGAGCGTCTCCTCCGCTTCGCTCCCTCCCTCCTCCTCCTTCTCCCTCTCCCTCCTCCTCCCTCCTCCCCTCGGCGCGGCCGCTTCACTCGGCGGCTGCTACTCACGTGGTAGAACATCCTGGCGCTTTCCCGGCGAACTCCCGGGTGAGGTTGAAGAGGTCGTCGGCCGGAGGCGAGCGGCCCAACTGGCGAAGTCAGTCAGTCAGTCAGTGAGTGAGCGAGTGAGAGAGAGAGAGAGAGAGAAAGAGAGAGAGACTGCGAGGCCCTCCCGCCCGCGCGCGGCGAGTGAGTGACTTGAGGGAGCGCGAGCGGACAGCCGCCCCCACTTCCGGTTCCCGCCCTTTTTTTTCGTGGGGGCGGTGGTGGTGGAGTGGTGTCGTCATCCGGGGCGTGGCTTCCACGGCCTGGGCTTGTTGGGCGGGTTGCTCCAGCCGGAGAGTAGCCCCAAAAGTAGCCCGCGTGACGCGGCTGTGACGTCGCGCCCGCCTTTGACGTCAGCAGGGAGGGCGGTCCCAAAGGGGTTGGACCCGAGCTGATGGGTTGGGTTAGGGTTGGGGGGTGGGGTCGGTCAGGAGGGTGGGGTGGGTGGCAGTGTGGGGCGGTGGTGGGGGTAGGGGGTAGGATGGTGACCGAAGGCTCGGTTGGTCGAAGAGGAGGGTCTTGAGGGAGGGGCCGGGAGGGACCGTGGGTTATTGTTCCCCACAGGTCTATTATAAATACAAGTGCCTGCAGGAGCTACGGTTCATAACACCCAACAACTTGCACTTATATAGCGCCCCCTATAGGGTAGCCTCTCGGAGTGCCTTAACAGTGGCGGAGGCTGACTCCGGGTGGGTGGGGGGGGGGGGGGAGTGATGAGGGGGTGGAGTTGATCGTTAAGCACGTGATTGACATTAACAGCAATAATCCTGGCATTGGACCCGGCGCCCGATCACGTCAAAGAGCCTCACGGGGCACGCCGTGAAGTGTAGTGACCGTGTGTTTTGCGGGTGAAAGGCGGCAGCCAATTGGGCCCCAGCGACGTCCCCACAAGCAGCCGTGCCGTGGGTTGAGTGACCTCATTGTTGTTGTTATTTTAGTTTTTTTGAAGGGGTTATTACTGCCGGAAAAAGCGATCGCGATGGTCCAAAAAAACCTCTTATCTTCCGATTTCTTGTTTTTTGGTCGTCGTTTTTGTACTGATTTTTGTATAAAAGAATACTAGACTGATGTTTCAATTCCAGGTTAATGCACAATTTATTTGAATTTTGATTTTTATAAAGTACACACTGGTTTACATTCCCATTGTCGTAACATTTGCCGTTAAAGTGCAGACAGACTTTTTAAATGCAAAGAAGGGTTCTTATCAACATGTCAGGAATAAAAGGAAAAATAAGTGTAAGAAAAACGGCAAGTTACAATTGTCTGAATTTGAAAAATCAAAAGCCAGCTATGTTACAATGAATATTGGCAACTTTTGTCCGTTGCTGTATTCTCCTCTTACAAACATTCACTTGCCTGCTCCCCACGTGGCGTAGGATCATTCACGACTAAAGATAATAATCGCACATTGCTCCATTGTGTGTTTCACGACACAACACAAACACTCGCTGATATAAAGCTACCTCACCACCAACCAACTCACTACTCTGAACAGAATTCTTGCATCACATTTCATTAAATCGCAATAAAGGCAGTAAAAATGATAAAAGTAACTTTCCCCCTCCAGTTTTCTCCCCGGCCTCTCCCTTTCCTGAAAGCATTCGACTTCTATTACTTTCTATTTTTGAATTATTTCAACAATGTTTAATATATATAAGCCACACGAGCGGTGTTACCAATGGCCTTTAAAACACTGGAGTCTTCGGCTTTCAGGTGGAGGGAGGGAGGGGGTTGCGGTTGCAGCGGGGAAATGTCATTATTAACACATATCAGAAAATTGCTAGCGTTAAAGAGTTTATTTTGAGATATACTTGTGCCTTCAGAGAGAGGGCTGTTCAAAGAGTATATAAATCAATGTATCCAGCACCAACAATATGGATTCAAAAGGTGTTAACGCTCAATTCACACTGGGAAGATACCTCAACTGAATCTGCCAAAATAATGAGCATGTTGACAGGATGGAGCAGTTTAAACCGACCCTCAAAAAAAAATTCTGGAGTCTAATCTTCAGAGTAGCTGAACCAACCCGGCCATAGAGACGTGGACAAATTAAAAGTGATCATATTATAAGCAGTATTTTTTTTGTTGGCTAAAGGCAGTTTCAACTCTTCCGACCCGTCCGCAAATGTCCTCATCATTGCAAAGTTTTACTACCAAAGGCAATATTTTGCGCGGTGGTGGTGGGGGGGGGGGGAAGGGGAGGGGGGGTTAAAAAATAATTCCTTCTACAGCAAGAAAGGTTGTCAATGATTAATTAAATGGCTTATCGCCTCAATTTGTCATTGTGACTTAATAAAAGATTACATAGAAAGTGTATCAAAATAGCTTTTCGTGTGCATTTACAGAACTTAAGATGGCAGCAAAGTGTACTAAAATATCTGCAGGTCAAATAAGATTATATATTTATCTCTCACTGTAAAAAACCAATATTTCTCAATGCCTTAAATATTCCATCCTATTTTTGACCTGCAAATTACATAGGGATGAAGTGTAATGTTCCTCCATACCTTAATCAATAAAAGATAACAGTTAATTCATATTTACAAGCGTTAAGATGGGCGTATTTACACAATTACTCTTTCTTTTTATTGACGGTTAGTTCTACTTTGGGGAGATATAATCCCACTTTGGAGCCACTGTCACTGCTGGAAGTGGAGGAAACGCGAGTCGTTTTGGAACCCAGTGACATTCCACTACCTTCTACCTGTTCCGCCTCGTCTTCATTAAACGTAACCTCGTATGTGCCTTTTGATTTCGCCCCAAAACCTGCAAACGTTCCAAATTTCAGCTTGGATTTTTTACCCTTCACATTCACATTGCCCTCCGCACTTTCCTCAAAGCCAATTTTCCCCTTGGGCGAACCGGGTGAAAGGTCCAGGTCGTCGTTCAAAGAGGACGATCTTTTGCCTTTAAATAGTGAAAAATCCACCGTGCTTGACTTGCCCTTTGGAGATGTAGCCAGACCAGAGCCTTGCCCAGAGAGTGACACTGATGGTCCTTCCACATTAAGGTCCCCGATTCCTGAACTGCTCTTTGAAGCACCTAACTCTCCCACAGAACCCTCCGCACTTACGTCACCACCTTTTCCCTTCGATTTGGAGAAATTTAACCTGGGAAATTTAATTTTGGACTTTTTTACTTTGACCCCAGAACTTGGCAACTGAACTTCTGGCAAACTGACATTAGCTTTGGGTCCTTTTATGTTAATGTCTGGACACTCAACATCGGAAACGTTTATTCGAGCTTCAGGCCATGCTAGGTTGGGTCCAAGCCTTTCAAATTGAAGAGGTTTGTATTTGGGGATTGGTACCTTGTCCAGTGCAATGTCAAAATCGAGAGGGCCGGCTTTGTAAACTGCATCTAGTTTAGGAGCTTTCATACCGAATGATGGCATTTTAAGATCAGTTTTCAGGTCAGGACCTGACACATCAATACCACCTTTAATCTTGGGCGCTTTCAAGTCAACATTCATGCCAGAAGCAGAAAAATCTCCAACAGGGAGATTAATTTCAGGTCCTTTTACTTCTACCCCAGATGTGTTCATGCCTCCCTCAAATTTTGGACCAAATGTGGACATGTTAAGTGTAGGTGCATTCATTTGTGGCATAGCAAGCCTTCCTTCCGAGCCACCAATGTTAATATCTGAGCTGTTTAGATTCACACTTGGACCCTTAACTCCTATTTTAGGGGCTTCCAGCTTTGGACCGGAAATATTAACGGCAGTTTTGGGAAGGTTGACATCAATATCCATAGACTTTCCTTCCAGTTTGGGTCCAGAGAATCCAATCTCTGGAGTTTTGACATGAGGCATTGTTATCTTACCACCTGGTCCTTTAATGTTAAAACCCGCAGGGTCAATACTGGGATCTTTTATATCAACATCCAGGCCTGTAAAACCTTTAACATTTGGACCAGAAATGTCAATTGATGGCATTGAAATTTGGGGGCCTTTGAGTTTGCTGTCAGAGCTCACATATACATCGGGCATATCTAGATTGAGACCTAAACCAGGTGCCTTAATGTCACCTCCTATATTTGGACCTTCCAGTTTGGGACCAGAAATGTTCATTTGAGGTAATTTCTGTTCACCTCCCGGGCTGCCAATATTAACATTTGGAGCTTTAAATCCCATGTCTCCTCCTTCGATATTTATCTTTGGATCCCTGATGCCATAATCAGCCTCTGGAAAGGAGACATTTCCACTCCCTTTTAGTTTGGGGGCTTTCATTTGCACATCAAAGCCCAGACCTTCGCCTTCCAATTTTGATCCTGAAATCCCCGGTTTCTTCATTTTCATTTTTAGTTTACTCTCTGGCTTTGCAATGTCAACATTTGGAGCATCAACGTCAAAATTAATTTCTGGTTTCTTCAGATCAATTTCAGGAGCATCTAGTGAAATATCGGCAGATGGCATTTTGAAGCCTCCCTTAATCTTTGGACTAGGTATCTCACCTTTCATTTTGGGGCTCTTCAAGTCAAACTCAACATCTGGAAACGAGAGCTTCATTTTCCCAAACAGTGGCTTCTTTACTTTCCCTGACTTTGCGTTCAACTCACCCTCAACGGACCCAGCATTTACATCTATTTCTGGAGAGCTAATCTCAATTTCTGGTTTGGCCAAATCAATGTCACCCTTTGGAATAGACACGTCAAAATCTGATCCAGTTTTCTTCACTTTCATTTTGGGCTTGCCTATGTTGAATCTAGGGATTTTAAATCTACCCTTTTTCCCTTTTCCACTGAGATTTATCTCTGGAGAATGAACATTCATATCCATATTTCCAGCCGATATATCAACTGAGGGATCTGCTGCATTAAACTTGGGTCCTTTAATGTCACCTTCCAGTTTAGGACCAGATATTTGGGGCATTTTAATGTCCATTCCCGGCATTGTAAATGTCTTCCCTTTTCCTTTGACATCAAAACCCTCCCCATCAATATCTGGTGCCTCTATATCCAGTTTGGGACCCTTAAGATCTCCTTTAATCCCACCCTCCATTTCAGGTAATGACACATCAATGTCACCTTCCAGTTTTTGCCCTTTCCTGGAGAATTCAATGTTAGGTGCTTTGATGTGAGGCAAATTGATATTGAATCCTTTGCCTGGAAATTTGATACCTTTGCCTTTACCATGTGGTCCTTCCAAATCTACATCCACATCAGGCCCTTCAAAGCCACCTTTTATCTTTGGTCCAGCTATGTCAACATCTGGGAGGTCAACATCTACATCCATATCTGGTCCTTGCCCTTTCAATCCTGGAAACCCCAAGCCAGGTAACTTGAATTTGGGTTTCCATGATTTCCCTGAACCATCAATATCAACTTCAGGTGAGCTAATCTCTACTTTAGGCCCTTTGATGTCCACATCTCCCCCTGGACCAGACATATCAACACCACCTTTCATGTTGGGACCTTTCAAGTTGAGATCGAAGTCTGGAACATTTACATTGGGTAGGTGAAATCCTAGAGAAGGCATTTTAAGCCCCTTACCTTTCACTTTTCCTGATGCATCAGGACCCTCAATGCTAACATCAGGTCCCTCTAGATCCAGTTTGGGACCCTTAAGATCTCCTTTAATTCCACCCTCCATTTCGGGTAATGAGACATCAATGTCACCATCCAGTTTTTGCCCCTTCCTAGAGAATTCAATTTTAGGTGTTTTGAAGTGAGGCAAATTGATATTGAATCCTTTGCCCTTACCATTTGGTCCTTCCAAATCCAAATCTACATCAGGCCCTTCAATACCACCTTTTATCTTTGGTCCAGATATGTCAACATCTGGGAGGTTGACATCCATGTCCACATCTGGCCCCTCTACTTTAGGTCCTTGAAACCCAAAGCTGGGTAGTTTAAATTTGGGTTTCCATGATTTTCCTGAACCATCAACGTCAAGTTCTGGGGCGTCAATGTCTACTTTAGGCCCTTTGATGTCAATATCTCCCCCTGGACCAGATACGTCAACTCCTCCTTTCATGTTTGGACCTTTCAGATTGAGGTCAAAGCCTGGAACATTTATATTTGGCATTTGAAATCCTAGTGAAGGCATTTTAAGCCCCTTCCCTTTCACTTTTCCTGAGGCATCGGGTCCCTCAATGTTAACATCAGGTCCCTCTATATCCAATTTGGCACCCTTGAGATCTCCTGCAATCCCACCCTCCATTTCAGGTAACGACACATCAACGTCACCATCCAGTTTTGGGCCTTTCCTGGAGAATTCAATATTAGGTGCTTTGATGTGAGGCAAATTGATGTTGAATCCTTTGCCTGGAAATTTGATGCCTTTGCCTTTACCATGTGGTCCTTCCAAATCCATATCTACATCAGGCCCTTCAATGCCTCCCTTTATCTTTGGTCCAGATATGTCAAGATTTGCATCTGGGAGGTTGACATCCATGTCCACATCTGGCCCCTCTACCTTAGGTCCTTGAAACCCAAAGCTGGGTAGTTTAAATTTGGGTTTCCAAGACTTTCCTGAACCATCAACATCAAGATCAGGTGAATCAATATCTACCTTTGGCCCTTTTATGTCTACATCTGCCCCTGGACCAGATACATCAACTCCACCTTTCATATTTGGACCTTTCAGTTTGAGGTCAAAGTCTGGAACACTTATATCAGGCATGTGTAGACCTAGAGAAGGCATTTTAAGACCCTTCCCTTTTACTTTTCCTGATGCATCAGGGCCCTCAATGTTAACATCAGGTCCCTCTAGATCCAATTTGGGACCCTTGAGATCTCCTTTAATCCCACCTTCCATTTTGGGTAATGAGACATCAATGTCACCATCCAGTTTTTGCCCTTTACTGGAGAATTCAATTTTAGGTGTTTTGAAGTGAGGCAAATTGATGTTGAATCCTTTGCCTTTACCATGTGGTCCTTCCAAATCCATATCTACATCAGGCCCTTCAATGCCACCCTTTATCTTTGGTCCAGATATGTCAAGATTTGTATCTGGGAGGTTAACATCCATGTCCACATCTGGCCCCTCTACTTTAGGTCCTTGAAACCCAAAGCTGGGTAGTTTAAATTTGGGTTTCCATGATCTTCCTGAACCATCAACGTCAAGTTCTGGGGAGTCAATGTCTACTTTAGGCCCTTTGATGTCAATATCTCCCCCTGGACCAGATACGTCAACTCCTCCTTTCATGTTTGGACCTTTCAGATTGAGGTCAAAGCCTGGAACATTTATATTTGGCATTTGAAATCCTAGTGAAGGCATTTTAAGCCCCTTCCCTTTCACTTTTCCTGAGGCATCGGGTCCCTCAATGTTAACATCAGGTCCCTCTATATCCAATTTGGCTCCCTTCAGATCTCCTGCAATCCCACCCTCCATTTCAGGTAACGACACATCAACATCACCATCCAGTTTTGGGCCTTTCCTGGAAAATTCAATATTAGGTGCTTTGATGTGAGGCAAATTGATGTTGAATCCTTTGCCTGGAAATTTGATGCCTTTGCCTTTACCATGTGGTCCTTCCAAATCCATATCTACATCAGGCCCTTCAATGCCTCCCTTTATCTTTGGTCCAGATATGTCAAGATTTGCATCTGGGAGGTTGACATCCATGTCCACATCTGGCCCCTCTACTTTAGGTCCTTGAAACCCAAAGCTGGGTAGTTTAAATTTGGGTTTCCATGATTTTCCTGAACCATCAACGTCAAGATCAGGTGAATCAATATCTACCTTTGGCCCTTTTATGTCTACATCTGCCCCTGGACCAGATACATCAACTCCACCTTTCATATTTGGACCTTTCAGTTTGAGGTCAAAGTCTGGAACACTTATATCAGGCATGTGTAGACCTAGAGAAGGCATTTTAAGACCCTTCCCTTTTACTTTTCCTGATGCATCAGGGCCCTCAATGTTAACATCTGGTCCCTCTAGATCCAATTTGGGACCCTTGAGATCTCCTTTAATCCCACCCTCCATTTTGGGTAATGAGACATCAATGTCACCATCCAGTTTTTGCCCTTTACTGGAGAATTCAATTTTAGGTGTTTTGAAGTGAGGCAAATTGATGTTGAATCCTCTGCCTTTACCGTGTGGTCCTTCCAAATCCATATCTACATCAGGTCCTTCAATGCCACCCTTTATCTTTGGTCCAGATATGTCAACATCTGGGAGGTTGACATCCATGTCCAAATCTGGCCCCTCTACTTTAGGTCCTTGAAACCCAAAGCTGGGTAGTTTAAATTTGGGTTTCCATGATTTTCCTGAACCATCAACGTCAAGTTCTGGGGCGTCAATGTCTACTTTTGGCCCTTTGATGTCAATATCTCCCCCTGGACCAGATACGTCAACTCCTCCTTTCATATTTGGACCTTTCAGATTGAGGTCAAAGTCTGGAACACTTATATCAGGCATGTGTAGACCTAGAGAAGGCATTTTAAGACCTTTCCCTTTTACTTTTCCTGATGCATCAGGACCCTCAATGCTAACATCAGGTGCCTCTATATCTAGTTTGGGACTCTTAAGACCTCCTTTAATCCCACCCTCTATTGTCGGCAGTGATGCATCAATGTCAGCTTTTGGCCCTTTCGTAGAGAATTCAATGTTAGGTGCTTTGAAATGGGGCAAATTGATATTGAATCTTTTGCCTTTGCCTTTAGCATGTGTTCCTTCCAAATCTACATCCACATCCGGCCCTTCAATGCCACCTTTTATCTTTGGACCTGATACATTAACATCTGGAAGGTTGACATCCATGTCCGCATCTACCCCTGTTCCCTTGGCTTTATGAAAGCCAAAACTGGGAAATTTCAGTTTGGGCTTCCAAGATTTTCCAGAAATATTAGCGTTTAGTTCTGGTGAATCAACGTCAACTTTTGGCCCTTTGATGTCTACATCTCCCCTTGGAACACATATGTCAGCACCACCTTTCATGTTTGGACCTTTCAGATCGAAGTCTAAATCTGGAACATTTATACTGGGTGCATGCAATCCAAAGGATGGCATTTTAAGCCCCTTCCCTTTCGCTTTTCCTGAGGCATCAGGACCCTCAATGCTAACATCAGGTGCCTCTATATCTAGTTTGGGGCCTTTAAGATCTCCTTTTATCCCACCCCCCATCTCGGGTAACGACACATCAACATCACCATCCAGTTTTTGTCCTTTACTGGAGAATTCAATTTTAGGTGCTTTGAAGTGAGGCAAATTGATATTGAATCCTTTGCCTTTGCCTTTGGCATGTGGTCCTTCCAAATCTACATCTACATCAGGCCCTCCAATACTACCTTGAATTTTTGGTCCAGTTACATCTACATCTGGAAGGTTGACATCCATGTCTACGTCTGCCCCATGGCCTTTGCCCCTATGAAATCCAAAGCTGGGTAGTTTAAATTTAGGTTTCCAAGATTTTCCTGAAACATCAACGTCAAGATCAGGTGAGTCAACGTCTACTTTTGGCCCTTTGATATCTACATCTCCCTTTGGACCAGATACGTCAACTCCCCCTTTCATATTTGAACCTTTCAGATTGAGGTCAAAGTCTGGAACACTTATATCAGGCATGTGTAGACCTAGAGAAGGCATTTTGAGCCCCTTCCCTTTCACTTTTCCTGATGCATCAGGACCCTCAATGCTAACATCTGGTGTGTCTATATCCAATTTTGGACCCTTAAGATCTCCTTTAATCCCACCCTCCATTTCAGGTAACGACACATCAATGTCACCTTCCAGTTTTGGGCCTTTCCTAGAGAAATCAATTTTAGGTGTTTTGAAGTGAGGCAAATTGATGTTGAATCCTTTGCCTTTACCATGTGGTCCTTCCAAATCCATATCTACATCAGGCCCTTCAATGCCACCCTTTATCTTTGGTCCAGATATGTCAAGATTTGTATCTGGGAGGTTGACATCCATGTCCACATCTGGCCCCTCTACTTTAGGTCCTTGAAACCCAAAGCTGGGTAGTTTAAATTTGGGTTTCCATGATTTTCCTGAACCATCAACGTCAAGTTCTGGGGCGTCAATGTCTACTTTAGGCCCTTTGATGTCAATATCTCCCCCTGGACCAGATACGTCAACTCCTCCTTTCATGTTTGGACCTTTCAGATTGAGGTCAAAGCCTGGAACATTTATATTTGGCATTTGAAATCCTAGTGAAGGCATTTTAAGCCCCTTCCCTTTCACTTTTCCTGAGACATCGGGTCCCTCAATGTTAACATCAGGTCCCTCTATATCCAATTTGGCACCCTTCAGATCTCCTGCAATCCCACCCTCCATTTCAGGTAACGACACATCAACATCACCATCCAGTTTTGGGCCTTTCCTAGAGAAATCAATTTTAGGTGTTTTGAAGTGAGGCAAATTGATGTTGAATCCTTTGCCTTTACCATGTGGTCCTTCCAAATCCATATCTATATCAGGCCCTTCAATGCCACCCTTTATCTTTGGTCCAGATATGTCAAGATTTGTATCTGGGAGGTTAACATCCATGTCCACATCTGGCCCCTCTACTTTAGGTCCTTGAAACCCAAAGCTGGGTAGTTTAAATTTGGGTTTCCATGATTTTCCTGAACCATCAACGTCAAGTTCTGGGGCGTCAATGTCTACTGTGGGCCCTTTGATGTCAATATCTCCCCCTGGACCAGATACGTCAACTCCTCCTTTCATGTTTGGACCTTTCAGATTGAGGTCAAAGCCTGGAACATTTATATTTGGCATTTGAAATCCTAGTGAAGGCATTTTAAGCCCCTTCCCTTTCACTTTTCCTGAGACATCGGGTCCGTCAATGTTAACATCAGGTCCCTCTATGTCCAATTTGGCTCCCTTCAGATCTCCTGCAATCCCACCCTCCATTTCAGGTAACGACACATCAACGTCACCATCCAGTTTTGGGCCTTTCCTGGAGAATTCAATATTAGGTGCTTTGATGTGAGGCAAATTGATGTTGAATCCTTTGCCTGGAAAGTTGATGCCTTTGCCTTTACCATGTGGTCCTTCCAAATCCATATCTATATCTGGCCCTTCAATGCCACCTTTTATCTTTGGTCCTGATATGTCAACATTTGGGAGATTCACATTCATGTCCATATCTGGTCCTTCTACTTTGGGACCTTCAAACCCAAAGCTGGGTAGTTTAAATTTGGGTTTCCATGATTTTCCGGAACCATCAACGTCAAGATCAGGTGAATCAATATCTACCTTTGGCCCTTTTATGTCTACATCTGCCCCTGGACCAGATACATCAACTCTACCTTTCATATTTGGACCTTTCAGTTTGAGGTCAATGTCTGGAACACTTATATCAGGCATGTGTAGACCTAGAGAAGGCATTTTAAGACCCTTCCCTTTTACTTTTCCTGATGCATCAGGGCCCTCAATGTTAACATCAGGTCCCTCTAGATCCAATTTGGGACCCTTGAGATCTCCTTTAATCCCACCCTCCATTTTGGGTAATGAGACATCAATGCCACCATCCAGTTTTTGCCCTTTACTGGAGAATTCAATTTTAGGTGTTTTGAAGTGAGGCAAATTGATGTTGAATCCTTTGCCTTTACCGTGTGGTCCTTCCAAATCCATATCTACATCAGGTCCTTCAATGCCACCCTTTATCTTTGGTCCAGATATGTCAAGATTTGTATCTGGGAGGTTAACATCCATGTCCACATCTGGCCCCTCTACTTTAGGTCCTTGAAACCCAAAGCTGGGTAGTTTAAATTTGGGTTTCCATGATCTTCCTGAACCATCAACGTCAAGTTCTGGGGCGTCAATGTCTACTTTTGGCCCTTTGATGTCAATATCTCCCCCTGGACCAGATACGTCAACTCCTCCTTTCATGTTTGGACCTTTCAGATTGAGGTCAAAGCCTGGAACATTTATGTTTGGCATTTGAAATCCTAGTGAAGGCATTTTAAGCCCCTTCCCTTTCACTTTTCCTGAGGCATCGGGTCCCTCAATGTTAACATCAGGTCCCTCTATATCCAATTTGGCACCCTTGAGATCTCCTGCAATCCCACCCTCCATTTCAGGTAACGACACATCAACGTCACCATCCAGTTTTGGGCCTTTCCTGGAGAATTCAATATTAGGTGCTTTGATGTGAGGCAAATTGATGTTGAATCCTTTACCTGGAAATTTGATGCCTTTGCCTTTACCATGTGGTCCTTCCAAATCCATATCTACATCAGGCCCTTCAATGCCTCCCTTTATCTTTGGTCCAGATATGTCACGATTTGCATCTGGGAGGTTGACATCCATGTCCACATCTGGCCCCTCTACTTTAGGTCCTTGAAACCCAAAGCTGGGTAGTTTAAATTTGGGTTTCCATGATTTTCCTGAACCATCAATGTCAAGATCAGGTGAATCAATATCTACCTTTGGCCCTTTTATGTCTACATCTGCCCCTGGACCAGATACATCAACTCCACCTTTCATATTTGGACCTTTCAGTTTGAGGTCAAAGTCTGGAACACTTATATCAGGCATGTGTAGACCTAGAGAAGGCATCTTAAGACCCTTCCCTTTTACTTTTCCTGATGCATCAGGGCCCTCAATGTTAACATCAGGTCCCTCCAGATCCAATTTGGGACCCTTGAGATCTCCTTTAATCCCACCTTCCATTGTAGGAAGCGATGCATCAATGTCAGCATCCAGTTTTGGCCCTTTCGTGGAGAATTCAATGTTAGGTGCTTTGAAATGGGGCAAATTGACATTGAATCTTTTGCCTTTGCCTTTAGCATTTGGTCCTTCTAAATCTACATCTATATCAGGCCCTTCAATACCACCTTCTATTTTTGGTCCAGTTACATCTACATCTGGAAGGTTGACATCCATGTCTACATCTGCCCCATGGCCCTTGCCTTTAGGAAACCCAAAGCTGGGTAGTTTAAATTTGGGTTTCCAAGATTTTCCTGAACCTTCAATGTCCATCTCTGGTGTGTCAACATCTACTTTTGGCCCTTTGATGTCTACATCTCCCCCTGGACCAGATATGTGAACTCCTCCTTTCATATGTGGACCTTTCAGATCGAGGTCTGGTACATTTATACTGGGTGCTTGAAATCCAAAAGATGGCATTTTAAACCCCTTCCCTTTCACTTTTCCTGAGGCATCAGGCCCCTCAATGCTCACATCAGGTCCCTCTATATCCAATTTGGGACCCTGAAGATCGCCTTTAATCCCACCCTCCATTTTGGGTAATGAGACATCAATGTCACCATCCAGTTTTTGCCCTTTACTGGAGAATTCAATTTTAGGTGCTTTGAAGTGAGGCAAATTGATATTGAATCCTTTGCCTTTGCCTTTGGCATGTGGTCCTTCCAAATCTACATCTACATCAGGCCCTCCAATACCACCTTCAATTTTTGGTCCAGTTACATCTACATCTGGAAGGTTGACATCCATGTCTACATCTGCCGCATGGCCCTTGCCTTTAGGAAACCCAAAGCTGGGTAGTTTAAATTTAGGTTTCCAAGATTTTCCTGAAACATCAACGTCAAGATCAGGTGAGTCAACGTCTACTTTTGGCCCTTTGATATCTACATCTCCCTTTGGACCAGATACGTCAACTCCCCCTTTCATATTTGAACCTTTCAGATTGAGGTCAAAGTCTGGAACACTTATATCAGGCATGTGTAGACCTAGAGAAGGCATTTTGAGCCCCTTCCCTTTCACTTTTCCTGATGCATCAGGACCCTCAATGCTAACATCTGGTGTGTCTATATCCAATTTTGGACCCTTAAGATCTCCTTTAATCCCACCCTCCATTTCAGGTAACGACACATCAATGTCACCTTCCAGTTTTGGGCCTTTCCTAGAGAAATCAATTTTAGGTGTTTTGAAGTGAGGCAAATTGATGTTGAATCCTTTGCCTTTACCATGTGGTCCTTCCAAATCCATATCTACATCAGGCCCTTCAATGCCACCCTTTATCTTTGGTCCAGATATGTCAAGATTTGTATCTGGGAGGTTGACATCCATGTCCACATCTGGCCCCTCTACTTTAGGTCCTTGAAACCCAAAGCTGGGTAGTTTAAATTTGGGTTTCCATGATTTTCCTGAACCATCAACGTCAAGTTCTGGGGCGTCAATGTCTACTTTAGGCCCTTTGATGTCAATATCTCCCCCTGGACCAGATACGTCAACTCCTCCTTTCATGTTCGGACCTTTCAGATTGAGGTCAAAGCCTGGATCATTTATATTTGGCATTTGAAATCCTAGTGAAGGCATTTTAAGCCCCTTCCCTTTCACTTTTCCTGAGGCATCAGGTCCCTCAATGTTAACATCAGGTCCCTCTATATCCAATTTGGCTCCCTTCAGATCTCCTGCAATCCCACCCTCCATTTCAGGTAACGACACATCAACGTCACCATCCAGTTTTGGGCCTTTCCTGGAGAATTCAATATTAGGTGCTTTGATGTGAGGCAAATTGATATTGAATCCTTTGCCTGGAAATTTGATGCCTTTGCCTTTACCGTGTGGTCCTTCCAGATCCACATCTATGTCAGGCCCTTCAATGCCTCCCTTCATCTTTGATCCAGATATGTCAAGATTTGTATCTGGGAGGTTAACATCCATGTCCACATCTGGCCCCTCTACTTTAGGTCCTTGAAACCCAAAGCTGGGTAGTTTAAATTTGGGTTTCCATGATTTTCCTGAACCATTAATGTCAAGTTCGGGGTAGTCAATGTCTACTTTTGGCCCCTTGATGTCTACATTTCCCCCTGGACCAGATATGTCAACTCCTCCTTTCATATTTGGACCTTTCAGATTGACGTCTGGAACATTTATACTGGTGCCTGTAATCCAAAGGATGGCATTTTAAACCCCTTCCCTTTCACTTTTCCTGATGCATCGGGACCCTCAATTCTAACATCAGGTGCCTCTATATCCAGTTTGGGACCCTTAAGATCTCCTTTAATCCCACCCTCCATTTTAGGTAATGATACATCAACGCCACCGTGAAATTGTTGCCCTTTACTGGAGAGTTCAATTGTAGGAGCTTTGATGTGAGGCAAGTTGACATTGAATCCTTTACCATGTGGTCCTTCTAAATCTACATTCACGTTTGGCCCTTCAAAGCCACCTTTTATCTTTGGTCCAGATATGTCAAGATTTGCATCTGGGACATTGACATCCATGTCTACATCTGCCCCATGGCCCTTGCCTTTAGGAAACCCAAAGCTGGGTAGTTTAAATTTGGGTTGCCATGATTTTCCTGAACCATCAATGTCAAGCTCTGGTGTGTCAACATCTACTTTTGGCCCTTTGATGCCTACATCTCCCTTTGGACCAGATATGTCAACTCCTCCTTTCATATGTGGACCTTTCAGATTGACGTCTGGAACATTTATACTGGGTGCCTGATATCCAAATGATGGCATTTTAAGCCCCTTCCCCATCACTTTTCCTGAGGCATCGGGACCCTCAATGCTAACATTAGGTGCCCCTATATCTAGTTTGGGACCTTTAAGATCTCCTTTAATCCCACCCTCCATTTTAGGTAATGACACATCAACGCCACCCTGAAATTGTTGCCCTTTACTGGAGAGTTCAATTGTAGGAGCTTTGATGTGAGGCAAGTTGACATTGAATTCTTTACCATGTCGTCCTTCCAAATCCACATTCACATCTGGCCCTTCAAAGCCACCTTTTATCTTTGGTCCAGATATGTCAAGATTTGCATCTGGGACATTGACATCCATGTCCACATCTGGCCCTTGTCCTTTGGGAACCTGAAACCCAAACTTGGGTAGTTTAAATTTGGGTTGCCATGATTTTCCTGAACTATCAATGTCACATTCGGGGGAGTCAATTTCTACTTTTGGCGCTTTGATGTCTATATCTCCCTCTGGACCAGATATGTCCACGCCACCTCTCATATTTGGACCTTTCAGATTGATGTCTGGAACATTTATACTGGGTGCCTGAAATCCAAAGGATGACATTTTAAACCCCTTCCCTTTCACTTTTCCTGAGGCATCAGGACCCTCAATGCTAACATCAGGTGCCCCTATATCCAGTTTGGGACCCTTAAGATCTCCTTTAATCCCACCCTCCATTTCAGGTAATGAGACATCAATGTCACCATCCAGTTTTTGCCCTTTACTGGAGAATTCAATATTAGGTGCTTTGATGTGAGGCAAATTTACATTGAATCCTTTAGCTGGAAATTTGATGCCTTTGCCTTTACCATGTGGTCCTTCGAAATCCACATCCACACCTGATCCTTGAGTGCCACCTTTTATCTTTGGTCCCGATATATTAACCTTTGCGTCCGATAAGTTGACATCCATGTCCACATCTGCTCCTCCTTCTTTGCTTCCATGAATTCCAAATTTGGGAGGCTTAAACGTGGGGATCTGTGCTTTTCCAGAACCGTCAATATCAAGTCTGTGTGAGTCCACAAATACTTTTGGCCCTTTGATATCTACGTCTGCTTTTGGGGCAGAAATATGAACATTTGCTTTTGGGGCACCAGTTCCTGAGATGTCACCTTGGAAGTTTGGTTGCACTCCAAATCCTGTTGCGGATACTTTGGGTTTTGAGATCCCAAAGGAAGGTAGTTTTGTATCTGCTGTTCCTATTTTTACTTCTGGTCCTTCAAGCTTGCCATCTATTCCAGGGATCTTCACTTCACTTGAAGTATTCAATGTTGAAAATGTAACACTTCCCTTTGGAAGTTTGGGATCCAAGTCAAGTTCTTTGACGTTTGGAATCTTAGATGTTATTTTTCCGTCTAGACCACCTGGCATATTGATATCAATTCTGGGACCTGTTATGACTCCTTTTTCTAAACCAGGTATGTTGGCATCCACGTCTCCTTTCAGTTTTGATCCACCCAAAGAAATATCAAAATCAGGCGTGGAGAATTTGTTTGATGAAATGTCACTTGAAGGGATTGTTATTTTGTGTTCCTTAACCCTCGCATCAGTATCAAGCTGAGGGGTGTCAATATTTGCCCTTATTCCAAATGGCTTAAGGTCAGCTTTAATCTTGGGGGCCGAGAGGTCTATCCTTGGTGCATTTGGGTCAACATCAACAAAATCCTTTAAAATATTAACTTCCTTTTCTCGCCCTTCAATCGTAGGTCCAGAAATTCCAAACTTGGAACTTTTAAGATCAATCTTTGGTGTTTTGAGATCTACTCTCTTTGGAGTATAAGAAGCATCAATCCCCTTCAGATCTGTATCCAAGCCTGGTACAGATATTTTGGATGCATGGAATTCAGATATCTTCACATTTCCCTCTGGACCCTCCATGTCAATCACTTGCATTTTGGAGCTTTTAAACTCACTTCTGATCTCTGAAGTAGAAACGTTTGGGCCCTGAACATGAACATCCATTGTTGGTGCAGCGATATCTACAACTTTGGTCTTTATCACTTGTGTTGTACGAGTTGCCCAGGCACCCTCACCCATTTGAATGTTTGGACCAGTAAGACTTCCTTCCGTACCTTGGAAATTAACATCTACATCCATCTCTGAGCTTTCCAGCTTTGGTCCTGACCTTATAACAGTTGTGTGTTCGTATCTTGGAACCTTTATGTGGAACTCTGGATCTCGGCTGTCTACGCCTGTTAGAACTGTGTGGCCAGAAATATCACCTGTGTGTGTGATCACCTTCCTGGTTGTTTGTATGCCATATTGTGCATCACCTTGATCTCCTGCCTCCAGATCATCTTCTGATTTCAGACGAGGTTTGATTTTCTTTCTGTAAATCCTTTGATAGTCTTCATCATCTCCACTCTAGACAAAAATGCAAAATTGTTTGTCATACACATGCTGTGATCACTGCCTGTCTGCTTTCGATCATCTTTAATAAAATGATCCTTGCATTTGATATAGCGCCTTATCACATCCTTGAGACGAATCTAAGCACTTCACAGAATATACTGTAAAGTGAATTGACTATATATTTTGTGGGCAAAACATGGCAGGCAGTTGTGCACAGCAGTGTCCCACAAACAGCCGTGGATTGAGTGACCAAATTATTATTTTGTTTGAAGGGATTATTACCCCAGAGAGTGATTTGAAAATCTTCACTGTCTGAGAGGGGTGTCTCTAAGTGTGTGCTATCACAGTGACTAGGATTCCCAATATCAGAAAGTGTTTGAACATTCACTGCCATCTTTTCAAGCCTGCGTAATACATACCAGCACAAGCTCTGGGCTCGAGGCCCCGTGGAATTCTGGTGCCCAAGTGTATCTCCCGCCCGGTGAAAGCCTTTCTCCTTTCCGATGAAGCTTCAGACCCACTGTGTGTTGATCCACCGACTGCAGTAATTTCTGGGCATCTTCATACCTCATATTGTCAAAGTAGATGGTGGCACTGACGATTTGGTCTCCTTAAAAGGGCAGAACAAGGAATTCATACGGCTCAAAAGCAAAACACTACAAACCGATTCTCCACAGCTGGTGGGCAAAGGTCCCATATGCAGCATTAAACCACGACAGAACAACTTGCATTTACATAGCACCCTTTCACAGTGGCGGAGCCCAACACTGAGTCGGGGAGGGAGGACGTGACCATAAGCACGGTCAAACAGGAAGGTCTTCAGTCGTGATCTATAAGGGGAAGGAGGGAGCAAGGCGGAGGTTTTCAGGGAGAGAGTTCCAAAGCATTGGGGCGTAGTGGCTGAAAGAGTGGCCGCTGACAGTGGAGTGGAGGGGACAAGGGACAAACACGATCAGAGCCCGCTGAGCGGAGGCAGAGGGTAGTAAAGCGGGGAGAAAACAGGTCAGAAAGATAGGGAGGTGCCGGGGTGTGAAGCAATGTTGAAGTCGATCCGTCTGTTGATAGGGAGCCAGTGGACCCTGGCAAGGACTGGTGCGTTGGGAGTTTAGTAAGGTGAGCATTTCCGAATCCGTTGTAGTTTGTGGGGAGACAGCGAGGAGGGCATCGGAGTAGTGTTTGGAGCAGTTTGGGCATTGGATCAGTCGCTCACCTGTTAATCCTGTAAGCCAAAGCTCTAATGGTGATCCGAACTGGATAAGGTTTGTGTTTGCAATGATATATTATTTTTTACGATATAGAAGGGAACGTATTGATCTGGTGGCAGTTATAATGAACAATAATGATGCAGTCAACAGTAATTACGTCATCAAAGAATCTCCCAAGTGCTTTACAGTAATGACTGGTAAGTGTAGTGACTGTCTTCATGGTTTTTTACCTTCCTTCACGATACCGCTCTTTCCCGCTGGTGAGTTCTTTTCCACATCTTTAATGAAGATGCCATCTTCAGTGCCACTTATGGAGAAGCCATGAGCAGCTGTCCCAGACCAGTTTGGGAGCATTATATCAACATTGTCCTCCTTTTCAGCCATCTGCAAGATCAGAGGGGAGCGTGATCCTCAACAACAACAATAACGTGCACTTATATAGCGCCCTCCGCACAGGGTAGCGTCTCAGAGCACTTAGCCCTGTCCACACACAAAACTGACCTAAAGCAGAGCAGATTCTCCCATTCACAGAACGAGAGAACTCTACAAGCGCCTTGCAACACGATAAAGGCCTCCAGATGTTTTACAGTAATCACTGCCGTGTGGCCACTGCGTTTTGTGTAGTAACGGCAGCAGCCATGTTGCGCACAAGATGAACAACCCATTCATTAATCAATCAGTCAGAAGGATTAATTAATCCGGACACGTGGAGAATCTCGCTCCTCTTGCATTAGTGTTAGAAGATCTTTAACAATCAACAGCACAAAACCATACAGTGAATGACCAATTTTTATTTGGTGGATTGTTGACGAGGTTACCAGGAGAGGAAATCCCTTTTTCTTTTGCAAGACTAACATGGAATACAACTGAACAGACAAAAGGGACCTTGGTTTAACATCGCGTCCGAAGGGTGTCGCCCTCTCTATCATTGTACTGCAGTGTTAATCTACTGTGGGATTGAATTGAGAATCTGCTGACTCAGAGAGGCGAGAGTGCTGTTTGGCTGACACCTATTTCGGCAAATCTTTTAATCCCATCACTACACCCTTTTGCCTTAGTACCCAACTCGTCTAACTGCTGCTAATGCTGAGGATCACCCTTATTACCGTCTCCTTCATTTCCTCTTAAGGTTTTTAGGTCCCACTGATCAGAACGTTACGTAGGTGCAGCTTATCGTTTGAGTATGACTTCTGGGCAACTTTTTTTGGAACTCAAGTTGATACGGTAGTATAGCCTAGCAGCTCGTGTGCCTTGTTTATTGCTGTCTCACACTGTTTTGGAGTACTACGAAGGCACGCCTCAAACAACGATCCCCCCCCCCCCCCCAAACCGGATGAATTGCAAACGTACGTAGCTTTGCGGAGGAGAGAGCGCTCAATTGGAACATGGCGAGATTTACCTTTCACTCTACTGTCCTCTCCGGGAATCTGTATCAGGATCCACGGCTGCTATCGCAGCTTAGAAGATCGACTGTTGAGGAGAAAGGAAAGAGAGTTACTGTCTACCGCTCAGGATCTAGAAACACTTGCTGAAGGCAACACATGCGTTGGAATGGTAATGAAGACAGGACCACATTTCACCCGACTTCCCGTCTCTCCCTAACAAGTCCTGGCGATATGCACTGCCTAAGTGAAGGTATATAATGGGAGCTCACCCTCTGTGAAGCAAGGGCAGAGGGTGAATTCCACCCGATGACCATTTTCCTTTAATGTCGAGCAGAGCCGCAGATAATTCTTTGGAAGCATTTGTTTCTGCAGTTCCGAAAAGAACTGGCTGGCAAGTTAAGACTTAGTTCCACAATTCCGTGCAATCGTAAATTTTAATAATAATAATCCTTGCATTTGATAAGAGCGCCTTAACACGTCGTTGAGATAAGACCCCGATCTCCCAGGCGAGGGTGAGGCGGAATTGCAGTCTCTTGTCTGCCTCCAGACACGCAGCCCGCGGGAGCAACCGAGAAAACAAATCCAAGTTGGAGAAAGAAAAACAGCCGCGCACAAAAAAAAAAAAAAAAACATTCTGCAGCTGAGCTGCCTGAAGAAGGACTGTATTATCCGCGATTTGGGCAACTGACCGATTGGTATGAGCAATTGTCATCGTTTCAGCTAGGGGGCAGCGTGTGCCACCAGACCAGTCTTGGCAGACATTTGCAAGCAGCTATGTCAGCTTTTAGATGGGCTCGTGTTCATGCTTGAGCTAAAATGGATTGAGGTGCGTCGAGGACTGAGGCTGGGGGCTCGGAAAGGGCAGAGAGGGGCTTGCAACCGGCCCAAAGCCTCCAAATGCAGATGGAGAACACCTTCCTGCTTTGTGTGGTGAGGGGTATTGTTAATTCACACGAGAGAGAGAGAGAGAGAGCGCAACTGTGCCTCGCCCACCTGAGAACCCTGACAGTAAGTGTCCACACAATAGGCAATGGTGAGGGGCCTCACAAACCTGCCCACACCCAATGTCCACAAAAGTTATGTGGGAGCAAACGTCTTCATCTAATTCGTTCAATCTGCGCAGCATTTTTCAAATGCCAATTGGGAGCTGTAAAACACGAACACTGTTTAACTGGTTTCAGGAAAATATTTGTCATCCTGTCTCATTATCAATTGTGCTAAATTCTGTCTTAACGTTCGAGATAGCGATCCTCGGACTTGATTCATGCGAGAGCTTTATTGTGTTGTAGAGATGTCCACAGGAGCTTCATAGGATTTTACGGTGACTCAGTGTTAACTTTGCATGAACGTGGCAGCCAATTTGCACATAGCAACAGCCCACAAACAGCCTGAAGTGAATGACTAAGTGAATGTTCTTCTTCAAGGAATGCATGGAAAAACAACTTCAAAATTTAGACTAAATTAAATTAAGAATTGGCCAAATTTTAGACACTCCGAAATTCAACAAAAAATAGATTTGAGGCCAAATCTCAAACCAAGTAACAATTAGCCTCTCTCTTTATTACGTTATCTGTGCCTCCTCATTCTAAAGACCTGGTGAATGTCATATATATATATATATATATATACACATCAAATGCAAGTATTATTAATCATTATTAATAGCCTCTTCCTAAGGCTGAGATCAGAAAGCTCAGCGCAGGCCAAGGAAACAACACCCACCACCTTCTACATCGGTGTTGCTCGGGGTTTGAACAGGCTTTATCGACTTGGCCATGGGGTGCAGAGAACTTCGTAGCAGTGAGTTACGATAGCACTGGCCCGGGCTTGCACAGGCTCTTGTGAGACAAGGGAGGAGAATGCAGGTGTAATCTTCTCTACTCTGACACACCCAGTCCCGACCTGTTAACCGCAAGCTTTGCGAGCCTCTCCCCAGTCACACACACCGGCGCGACAAGAACAGGCAAGTCCGCAAGAGTAAACAGTGAACTGCTTCAGTGAATTGCGCCGCTGCAAATCCTTCTGGCGTTGATGCGATCTTGGCCTCACGACCACGAAAGACAACTCTCTTCAGCTCCCCTCCCCACTTCTCTCCTCTCCTCTCCTCTCTCTCGGTTGCCAGTCGTGTTGTAAAGTGTTTTGAGATCTCCTCTCAACATGAAAGGTGCTGCTGGATAAATGTAAACTGTTCTATTGTTCGAGTATAACAGCCACACCCTACCCTCAAGCTACGCTCCTCCAGTCGGCTTCCAACTACCCTTCCCCTTGCCATTGCCTTTCCAGCCAACCACCCACCTACCCAGTGCCCGTTTCCACACATACCGACAATCTTTAAGAGGTTTGTTGAAATGATCTTTAAAATGATCGGGGTTTCGATAACTCAACGGGGAGGCATCATTTCCATTGGTTGGTGAGTCAGTGACTAGTTTAAGACAGTTAATGAGTGAGCAAGTGTGGAGGGTTAGGAGAAATATACTCACACACATACACACACACACACACACACACACACAGAGTGTGGTTAGGTTATGGAATGTCCTACCGGGGAGCAGTGGTTGAGACAGAATCCATATTGGCTTCAAGAGGGAACTAGAGACATATCTTAACGAGAGTCACCCACCGGGTTATGGGGAAAAGGCAGGGAAATGGGCCCTGAAAAGATGGCATCTCAGGGAGTTGGCATAGATGCTGTGGGCTGAATGGCCTCCTTCTGTGCTGTCCATGTCTTATCTGTTTCACTTCACTCCTGGCAAGTTCACTACTTGCCTTCTTCAAGACCCTCCGCTTCGGTCACCCTCTTCCCTCTATTCTCCCTGCCCTCCGCGCCTCCTAATCCTAACCGACAGCTCAGATGCAAATCCTTCTGTCCAGTCTCCCAGCAACAACAACAACAAACAAATCACATTTATATCGCGCTTTTCCACGTCAGGAGGACATCCAGCCAGTCGGTTCAGAGCCAGTCTCTGGGTCAAGTTCATACAATAACTCGTGCCCTGCTTGGTGGGCAATGGCTCAAAGTGCTTCAGAGAGGACGGGTTGGATGCTGAGCAAGAGAGAGGGGGAAGGAGGAGTGGCTATAGGCACTCGAGGCAGGATTGGAGACCGGATTTAATGGCAGAAAGCGAGAGGTAAGACGGAGACGTAGAGGGAGGATGTTCCAGAAGTTAGGGCCATAGGGGCTGAATAATAATAATAATAATTATAATACGCGCAGCTAATATAGTGCTTTATTACGTCGTGGACACGTCTCAAAGCACTTCACTGATTTATAGAACTTTACACCACAGAAGGAGGCCATTCTGCCTATCGTGACTGCTGGCTCTTCGAAGGAGCTACCAACTAGTCCCACTCCCCCCGCTCTTACCCCAACTAATCCCACTCTCCTGTCCTTACCCCAACTAGTCCCCACTCCCCCCACCCTTACCCCAACTAATCCCACTCCCCCCGCTCTTACCCCAACTAGTCCCACTCCCCCGCTCTTAGCCCAACTAGTCCCACTCTCCCCGCTCTTACCCCAACTAGTCCCACTCCCCCCGCTCTTACCCCAACTAGTCCCCACTCCCCCCACCCTTACCCCAACTAGTCCCACTCCCCCCGCTCTTACCCCAACTAGTCCCACTCCCCCCGCTCTTACCCCAACTAGTCCCCACTCCCCCACCCTTACCCCAACTAGTCCCACTCCCCCCGCTCTTACCCCAACTAGTCCCCACTCCCCCACCCTTACCCCAACTAGTCCCACTCCCCCCGCTCTTACCCCAACTAGTCCCACTCCCCCGCTCTTACCCCAACTAGTCCCCACTCCCCCCACCCTTACCCCAACTAGTCCCACTCCCCCTGCTCTTAACCCATAGCCCTGGACATTTTTCCTTTTTAAAGTATCTGTCCAATTCCCTTTTGAAAGCCGCTGTGGAATCTGCTGTAAATATAATACAATAAAGTCAAGGTGTGTCGGGGAAGGGATAGATTTGTAGGTGAGAGCGACGACCTTGAAATCAATCTACTAGGAGGCAGGGAAGACCCGGCCAGGAGTGGGGCGATGGGCGCGTGTCGTATGGAGTGAGTGAACGTGGGGGCGGCGGAGTTTGGGAGCGAGTTAGTTTGTGAATGGTTGACCGAGGGAGCTGACGAAAAAAGGGAGTTTGAAACATCTGAGCAGGATGTGATAAAGACATGAATAAGTGTTCCAGTTGCACTGGGTGTGAGATAGGGGCAGGAGTCAGGATGTGAGTCAACTGGTAAGAGAGCCATTCTCCGGGATGAGTCACTGCAATTGCCGTCAATGCCCCTGCGTGGGGGGAGAGAGGGAAATCCACATCTCCTCCAATGCAGCTCAGTGGCTGGAGCGCTCCCCTCACAAGCGAGAGGACCCGGGTTTGATTCCCGGGCGGCGGGAAAACCGTTGGTAAATTTCTTCACACACACACACACACCTCCGTTTACCCAGTAAGTAGGAACCTGGTCGTCAGTTGATTAACAGTTGTCTGAGGGTAATAACCCCTCTTTAAAAATAATCTGGTCACTCAACCCACGACTGTTTGCGGAACGCTGCTGTGCCAATTGGCTGCTGCATGACGCCCGCAAAAGAAACGCACAGTCACTGCGCCGTATATTCTGTGAAGCGCTTTGAGACGTCTCGACGACGCGCTAAAAGGGGCTATGTCAAATGGAGGGCTCGTTCTTATTATTGTAAGGATTATTATTATAGATGCGACTGCTTAGAAGGAGCATTTGTGTGGTGTGATAGCTCATTCCCACCCTCTCCCCCCCACCCCCGCCCCCGCCCCTCCCCAGGTGAGACGGCACAGAGTGGGGGAATGGAACGTGTGACTCCGCGCTAAGTGAGTCATGGGAGAACCTTTGTGTCAGTTTTTAATGGTAACAGATCTCTCAGGAAATCCAGAAGCCCTGGAATACCGAACGTGTGGAAAACTGTGCTCCGGCTCCAATCTATTTCAGGAGCACATTTTCCCTCGAGTTGGCAAAACTTTACAACAATAAATAATCCTCGCACTCGATAGGGCGCCTTTTTTTTTTGGATCAGCCGGGCGCATGACACGTGCATCACCGTGCTTAAGAGTAAGTGCCTATCACACCTCAAAGCACTCCACAGGTGTAGTGACTGTTGGTAAAACTCAGCAGCGATATCCCACAAGCAGCCATGAAACTGGGAGAGAGAACCTCCCTTCTCTTTTCCAATAGTTTGGCATCCTTAGCATCCGTCTGAACAAGCATAAGCGTGGTTCAACGTCTCATCCAGGTATAACCCCGTCCATTAAGCAACACTGCAAAGTTGGCCCATTCATTTGTAAACCTTTTCCGGGGGTAATAATCCATCACAAAAATAATATTAATCCACGGGCTTGTTTGTAAAACAGCGTCGTGCGCAATTGGCCGCCGCGTTTCACTCACAAAATACGCAAGTCAATCCACTTTACAGCGTATCCCGGTGCAGCGCTTTGAGACGTCTCTCAAGACCTGATCAGGCGCTGTATCAAATGCGAGGATTATTAGATAGGATTATTATAAACCTTTGAATCGGTGGCAACAACCCTTAACAGTGGAATGTTTTGTGGTTGAAGGGTTATCGGTTAAGTAGAATTATCATGAAACAATGCGTTGGTAATAAGGAAATGAGTCATTAATTGCACAATAACCAGGTGGGATATAAAAGATAAAGACGTTGATTTATACTGGGAAACTCACTGAACTAAAGGCCTTCATGTGCCTGTCAGCAATTCTCTTGCTACTCATTAATCAGAACACGAACATGCTTGCCCAAATACGTAGAGCAAATACCAGAATCTCGCACTAAATATTGTCCGAGCTGTTTTCTCTCTCCCCATACCCATATACACACATTCCTTTTGGAAACATTATCCTGATACATTCATCCCTTATACTGACTCCGACGCATCCTCACTGTAACAGTCTGTGATACACGACTTATAATAATAATAATAATAATAATAATAATCCTTGCATTTGATACAGCGCCTTATCACGTCTTCGAGGCGTCTCAAACGTCGTGGATTGAGTGACCGATTTATTATTTCTTAAAAGGGATTATTACCCCCCGGGAAAGGGATCCACCAATCGACTTAACAAGCGGAGTCCTAACTGCTAGTAAACAGAGGCGTGTATGTGTGTGTTTACAGAGTACCCTTCGGGCGGGATAGCATCCCAGAGCGCTTCACAGTGGCCGAGCCCGGGGGAGAGGGAAGGACGGAGGTGACTAGGCACGGTCGGAAGACGGGGAAGGAAGGAACGGGGCAGGCAGGGGATAGAGGATTACACTAAAGAAATGTTTATCCTCCGAATTAAAGTTTCTTTCTTCGGGGGAACCTGAACTCCGCAAACCAGTTTACGGTGACTGACAAAAGCAAGTGATGTGTGTGCAAATGAGTGAGATCATCAGGCGTTAAGATATTTCTGAGCCTCCATGACCCGCGGCACTTTCTCAGCACTTAAAATAACTCCTGACACACAGTGAAAGAGGGAGAGAGAGAGAGAGAGACAGTTGAGATGGTTAGAACCGAGAGAGAGAGAGAGAGAGAGAGAGAGAAGGTATGGAGAAGAATAGAAAGAAAGGGAAAGAAAATGGAGGGAGACTGAAATGGAGGGAGAGCAGGAGTAATAGTAATAAGAATCCTTGCGTTTGACGCGGTGCCCTAAAACGTCTCCGAGACGCCTCAAAGCGCTTCACGTTAAAGTCAAGACACGCAAGACACGGCGAGCGGTCACTCCATTAACAGACGCGCACGCAAATGCACGCTTGTGCACGTGCACGCCGGCCGCACACCCGCGCGCACACCCGCGCACAATGCTAGAATATCCTGAAGGGTACAGCTGTCGAACTACAGGCTCATCGGAAACAGCCCTTTAGTGGCAGATAAATCAGCAGGAAATTAAGCTCTCAACCAGGCCTGGCTTTTTCCAGATAAACACATGTGTCCTTTACGTGACGTGTCCTGCGGCAGGATATACAGCCCGGGGGGCTTCCATCCACACAAGACGCCCCATAAATAATTCACACGTTACATGCACAGGTTCCAGGATATCGCTTCAAACGGAGCTAACGCTCGCTGGACGAGCAGCGGGAAAGCTCGGGCAGACAGCGATATCAACGGCCAAGCTGCGTAGCTGTAGCCGATTAGACAGCTAACCCCCCCCCCCCCCCCACACCCCACCCCCCCATCCCAAGCCTTGGCTCTCGCCAACCTGCGCCTAGTACTCTCCGGAATTAGGTAAGCAGGGGCTTCCCTCCCGGGAGAGGAGAGAGAGAGAGAGAGAGCGCATTCCATTCCAACAATCTCTGTCTGGGATTCCCACGTGTAGGCGGGAGGCCTGGAATTCTCAGTTGGGTTCGGAGACAGGTTTCCAAATGCCAGGATTATTATTATTATTATGAAAAAGATTTAAGACTTCAGGGCCAAAAGGGTGAGGGTGTAAACAGCCAGAATCCAGAGCGTACTCGAACCCATCAGAGAACACAGAGAATTGGATTCGCTTTCGCACCCGTAGCGATCGATAGATTCACCCTATGGATTCACCCTATAGATTCACCCTATACGCACTCGCCCACAAAATATACAATCAACTCACCTTACAGCGCTTAGCGATGCCTCGAAGGTGCCGTGTCAAACGCAAGGATAGGTATATTATTATTCCTCGCACAGTCGGGAAAGGTCATACAGCGCCTGATCACGTCCTCGCGCCGTCTCTAAGCGCTTCACAGGGTACGCTGTAAAGTGTGGTGACTGTTGTGTAAGGAAAGTTGCCCAATGTTTGGCCCTGACCCGCCCGGCCGGGAATCGAACCCAGGTCCTCTCGCCTTGCGAGGCGAGGGCTCCAACCATTTGATGGAGAGAGCGAGGAATGGGGGTTACTTATGGTCGGTCACCTTCCCTTCCTCCCCTCCCCGGCTCGTTCCGTTCCCCGTCACTGTAAAGTGCACCGAGATGTTCGTTCGCTTGACCGCTCGATATCAATGCAAGTTCTCAAGGTCCCAATTCTGGTCAAACATGTCCAGATATTTTGCCCTCGTTCCCTCCGTCAATCCCACCGTCCCTCCCCCCCCCCTCTCGACCACGCCTACGCCCTCAGGAATCTTACAGCTCCATGTGAGAGAGAGAGAGAGAGAGAGAGAGTGCAATCCCCCCAAAGAATCCAAAATCTTTTCAGAAAGAAAGTGCGGAGAAAAAGAAAAAAAAAAGTATTTCTGTTTCCCCGCGTTTACAAGCTCTCGTCTCTTGCCAGTTTCCGACACTCACTCCCCCCATCGGGAGCCACGCCAGCCTCGCTCTCTCCCTCCCTCCCTCCCTCCCCCCTTTTCTCTCCCTCGCCACAAACAAGCGTTTCAGAGGAAAATTGGCCAAAGAAAATATCCCAACAGCTTCCAACCCCAGAGTCTGACTTGACCTATATACAGCGTGTTGCGTAGTCGAATCCTATTTACAGTAAACTTGTTTTTCTAAGCCTAGTCCAACCCTTTCTCCTTCTCTACTCCAACTCTCTCTCCCCCTTGGCCCTACCCCCCCCCCCAAACCCCTCCATGGAACACCGACTCTACAGTCTGTGTGTTGGGGAGGGGGTCGTTGAGAGCAAACACACACCCTACGCACATCACCGTTGGCAGGGAGGGTGGGCGTGTAGGCGGGTGACCGAAGGCGCGGTTGGGTTGGGTGCGGATGTGTGGGATGGGGGTGCTATTGTGTCTGTACCCCAAGCCCACCCACCCACCCACCCACCCACTCCCAACTCTCCCAACGAGAGGTTCCCTGAATATCGGGATCTCACTCCCAACCCAACATAGAACCTTTCGCATCGCGAGGACGTCCCAAGGTGCTGTAGCCAGGGGACGTGTAGGATATTGGGGAGGGATGGAGCCAGGGGGCGGGCGGGGCGGGCGGGCGGGCGGGGTGGGGGGGGGAGGGGTTGTTTACTGAACGCTTTTCACATCAGGGGTCTCGTTTAAAACCCCTGTGACGTCCTCCCGACGGGAAAGGCGCTGTGCGAATGCAAACCTGTGCGAAATGCGGCGGCCAAGTGCGCAGTTAATACACGGGGAGAAGGAGAGAGAGAGAGAGAGAGAGCGAGAGAGAGAGAGAGCAGTGAATCAGGGAGATGTGTGTGTGTGTGTGAGTGGGTGAGTGAGAGCGGGAGGAAGCGAGTGAGTTCTTCAGAGGGTGTTGACCTAAAACAGAGCCAAAACTTAATCCAATCTCTGGCTCTGTTGCGTTGCGTCGAACAATGAGGAGCTGTGAATTCCGGACAAAACCAGCCGGGCTCGGCTGGGACACGCCCTGGATGCGAGCGCGTTAGTGACATCTGCAACCATTTCATATCAGCGGGGAATTAGCGGGGGGGGGAGGGGGGGGAAGGGAGGAGAAGAAAGAGAGAAGGGGGTGGGGTGTGGTGGGGGGTGATTTGGGATGGTCCCAACGTTGAGGACGTCCCAAAGCTCTGTAGGCGGCGAGCGCCGGGGGTGGGACGTTGCCGACGATAATCATCCTCGCCCTCGCGACGTCTGGCGGCGCTTCGCGGGACGCACCGCAGAGCACAGTGACCGCGGGTCCTGCGGGCGAAACGCGGCGTCTCCCCCCCCGCCCCCACACACACACGCACACGCGCGCGCGCGCAGACGGCCGTGGGTCGAGTGATCGGACCCCGGGGTCCTTCTCGCTCGCGAGGAGGCGAGGGCTCTAAACCCTCCCCGGTGACCGAAGCCGCCTAGGGGTGGGGGGTGGGTGGGTGGGGTGGGGTGGGGGGGGTGGGGTGGTGGGGTGGGCGAGCGGGAGGAAGAGGGAACGCAGAAACGTCAAACGAAACCCGATTTCGCAGTCAAATAATCATTGGCAGATAACTCAGAGCCCCATTTCAATATTCAAAAACGTTTCCCAACAGAGACGGGTTTGCAGACGGACCGGACTCGCGCACCGTCGGCCACGGGGGGACATCTAACAGAGATCCCACGGTCATTATTGGACATTTGCGTATGTTTCACCCCCCGCCACCACCGCCCCGCCACCCCGCCCGGCCCCGCCCCAGCGCAAACAGCCACTGAGTCACTGATTTTATCTGGGGTGGGTGGGTGGGTGGGGTGGGGGGGTTGTCAGGTAGGACACACCGCACGCAGAGAGAGAGAGAGAGAGAAATTCCCTTCTCTTCTCCGACACGCAGGGAGATCCTCAGCGTCCGCCCTGGACAAACCACAGACGGGGAGGGGGGGTGGGGGGGTGGGGGGGGGGGTGGTGGGGGGGGAAACGGGTGAGGCTTTAGCATCTCATCCGAAAAGTATGACGTCTCGGACATTGCATCTCTCTCTCTCTCTCTCTCTCTCTCGGTGTCTCCCCCCCTCCCACACCCCTCCCCCAGCGCTGTGCTGGAGTGTCAGTCTGGACTGTGAGCTCTCAGCGTCCCTGACGTGTGGGTGTGTGGGTGGGGGGGAGTGGGGGGGGGCGGCGGAGGGGGAAGAGTACGGAAAGTTGCCTAAGGTTTTGCCCGGACCCGGCTGGGAATCGAACCGGGGGGGGTGTGGGGGCGTCTCTCCCTAACGAAGCCGCAATGCCACTATCCACATCTTCCACCAGCAGGAGGCAGTCATCAGCAGCGTGGACCCCCCCCCCTCCCCTCCCCCCACCCCCCGCCCCGAACACCACCCCACCGCCTGGGAACCGAGCCCCTCCCGACCTCTTGTTACTTCTTCCCCTTCAGCCGTCCAACTAACACACACACACACACACAGCCGCCGCGCCCTACCCCGGGCGTCTCAACAGATGGACTGCGCGCCCGCGCGCGTGTGACCTTGTCTGCGTCGTGTGCGTGTGTGCGTGCGAGTGCGTGTGCGTGTGTCAGCGCCTGTGCGCGTACGTGTCTGAAAATGTGTGTGTGTGGGACACGTGTGAGCGCCTTTGTTTTGAGGCGGGTGGTGGGAGGCGGGTGGTGGGAGGGGGGTGGTGGGAGGCGGGTGGTGGGAGGCGGGTGGTGGGAGGCGGGGGGGCTCTGAATAGCGAGCAGGAAGATGGGCGGGCGGGAAAACATTCCCCTCGTAGCCCAGGGAAAGCCGAGACCAGCTGCAGCCCCACCCGCCCTCGCAACGCAACGCAACACAACACAACACAACACAGCAATCAGTCACCGACTCAGAGACAGTCCTGACTCACCGCCCCATCACCACCACCGCCACCGCCACCGCCGCCACCAACCTCCGGGGAGGGGGGAATCTGCACATCAAGCTCAGCCTCCCCCCCCCCCCCCCCACCCCCCTCCCTCCCCGCCCCCCGCGCAGGCAAACTCTGCCCCTCGACAAATCGGTTTCGGGGTAAAAAAAAAAGTACGTTTGGTGAAACTTTGCAAAAGCTTTTGGAACTCGATTTGAACTAATGGTTAGCAACGCACCGCCCCCCCCCCCCACCCACACCCCAAACACACACACACACGGGGGTGGGGGAATCGAGGGTGAGCGCGACCAGAGTTTCGGGGGGGGGGGGGGGGAACGCGAGAGGGCGAGGCTAAGGCGTCACCTGGCGATCGGAGCAGAGCGTCGGAGGTTCCTTTGTCCAGCACCAGGTGGAAGGAGGACGGGCGGAAGGCGGAGAGGTCCGTCACGTCGGCCAACACGAAGTCCAGGCGCGAAGCGGGGTGCCCCGGGGCGAGGGCGGGGGCCGGGGGCGAGGGGGGCAGACCCCCGAACCGCTCCCGCATGAGCCGGACGGCGACGGGGGAGAAGTCCACGCCGGTGACGCGGACGGGGAAGGGGCAGCGGGCGTACAGGCCGGGCCCCAGGCCGGACGTGCCGCAGCCCAGGTCCAGCGCCCGCCGGACCCCGGGGCCGGCCAGCAGGGACGCCAGGAGGCCCGAGACGAACCCGTAGGGGAAGAACCAGTCGAGGTGCCCGAAGCCGTCGCCGACGCCGTCGCCCCGTGAGCTCTCCTCGTAAATCCGGTCCCAGGTCTCCCGCTCGTCCATCCGGTGCACCAGGTCTGCGGGTCAACAACGACAACGACGACAACAACGACGACGACAACAACGACGACGACAACGACAGTGACGATGACGACAACAACGACGACAACGATGACGACAACAACAACGACAACAACGACGCCGACAACGCATCAGAATGATAGACAATACGTTGTACTATACAATGATAAATAATATTAAATAACAGTAAATAAAACCCGTTTGTTGTTCTTTAATAAATTACGCGACAAATAATAGTGTGTAATAAAATGATATTGCGTGTAATGGTGAATGTTATTCAATGGTAAATAATACTAAACATTAATAAATAATATTAAATAACTAATATTATATAAGTAATATATAATAAACTCCCCCCGCGCGCTCTCTCTCCCCCCACTCCCCCCGCGCGCTCTCTCTCCCCCCACTCCCCCCGCGCGCTCTCTCTCCCCCCACTCCCCCGCTCTCTCTCTCCCCCCACTCCCTCGCTCTCTCTCCCCCCACTCCCTCGCTCTCTCTCTCCCCCCACTCCCTCGCTCTCTCTCTCCCCCCACTCCCCCGCGCGCTCTCTCTCCCCCACTCCCCCCGCGCGCTCTCTCTCCCCCACTCCCCCGCGCGCTCTCTCTCCCCCACTCCCCCCGCGCGCTCTTCTCCCCACTCCCCCGCGCGCTCTCTCTCCCCCCACTCCCCCCGCGCGCTCTCTCTCCCCCACTCCCCCCCCGCGCGCTCTCTCTCCCCCACTCCCCCCGCGCGCTCTCCTCCCCCACTCCCCCCGCGCTCTCTCTCCCCCACTCCCCCGCGCGCTCTCTCTCCCCCACTCCCTCGCTCTCTCTCCCCCCACTCCCTCGCTCTCTCTCTCCCCCCACTCCCCCCGCGCTCTCTCTCTCCCCCCACTCCCCCCGCGCGCTCTCTCTCCCCCACTCCCCGCGCGCCTCTCTCCCCCCACTCCCCGCGCGTCTCTCTCCCCCCACTCCCCCGCGCTCTCTCTCCCCCCACTCCCCCGCGCGCTCTCTCTCCCCCCAATTGATCATTTATTTATAAAACATAAACCGATTATCTATGACATATTAAAAAATAAAACAAAATGATTATTTATCATTTATTGTCATTAAAAAGGTATCGTCGCCGTTCATTAGGTCCGTATTAATTTTAATTAATTAGTTTACTAACAACTTATTGATTATGATGTAGTTCACTAACAAGTTATTGATTATATTATGTTTACTTTATTAATAAGTTACTGATTACATTACAGTTTATTGACGAGTTACCGATTCTGATTTGGTTTATTAACGCGTTATGGGTTATATTTAGTTTATTGACGGGTTATTGATATGGTGATGTTGTTCACGAACAACTTATTGATTATAGTTCCATTGCCAAGTTATTGATTACATATTACCAGTTTTGTTGACAAATTAATCACTAGTTTTTAAACCATTTTAAAATCCTCTCCCCCACCCACCCCCCCCTCACAGCCCCACCCCC